ATCATGCCAAGGAGAAAATTGAAGAGGATTTAAAAAAAAAAACCTTCATTGTAAGTTATCAATTAATTTTTTTAATTCAAAGTTATAGACATGTTTAACTCAAAATTAATTCAATTCTTATCTTTTTATTTTTTTAGTTATCAACCTATTTGGGATGTCATTGATGCAAGATGGGAGAGGCAACTCCATAGGCCTTTGCATGCTGCAGGCTATTACCTTAACCCAAAACAACATTATTCTCCTACATTTAAAGTTGATTATGAAGTAAAGGTTGGATTATACGATTGTATAAAAAGGATGGTTGCAGATACAGCTGTAGAAAGAAAGATTGATGAGCAACTTGAGGAATTCAAGTATCGTAGAGGTCTTTTTGGGACTACCTTTGCTAAGGATGGAGTTGAAACCAAGAGTTCAGCAGCATGGTGGGAATCTTACGGTGATGGTGTTCCAGAGCTCCAAAAATTGGCTATTCGTGTGCTTAGCTTGACATGTAGTTCCTCTGGGTGTGAGCGAAATTGGAGTGCTTTTGAGATGGTATAATTTTAATATGAAATGCATTTGATTTGAAAAATATGATATTAGTCTAGCTGCTAAATTATTTTCTTGTATTTGCTTAGGTCCACACAAAAAAAAAAAAAATCGTTTGAAGCAGGAGACAATGAATAATGTTGTTTTTGTCATGGCTAACTCAAGATTAGGCAAGACAAAACATAGAGTGTCTCCTCAAATTGATTATAACTTTGATGACATTGAGTCAGATGATGATTGGATTGTGGAACCAACATATGAAGATCATTTGGAAGATGTTGAAGAAGATCAAGATCCCTTTGGCTTGGATGATCCAATTGAAGAAGAAGCGAACTTGGATAATTTGGAAATTCCTGAATTTATTGGTGAATTTATTAGTGGAGAAGGGGATGAAGATGAAGATGATATTGACTTGGACTCCAATGACTTAAATTAGAGATGTTGATATCTTTTATGATTTTATTACCTAGGTGTTTTGATTTTAATATGTATTATCATGACTGAGTTTGAACTTAATTTTTATTTCTTTAGTGTTTGCACTTAAATTTGTAATGACTTATGTATTGGTGTGTTTTGGTTATATATATGTTGGATATATTTTATTTTTTTGGTATGGAGTAAACTCTTACGTTTCGTTTACGTTTCTCGATTTTACGTTTTTGCTTTCCCCTACCGTTTCAGCGTAGACTCTACGTTTTAACAACATTGGTCACTGATGTATCTTGGGTTCCAAATTAGTCGTTGTGATCCCTCTTTTTTTACCTACAAAGCTGCCTCTCGACTGGTTTTAGATATATGTGGATGATATCATCATCACTGGTAATGATGTTGCCTTTGTCCAATCACTTATATTTCTGACCTGCATTCCAAATTTGCTCTGAAGGATCTGGGTGCCCTTGATTACTTTTAGAGGTCAAGCAAAGGTCTCCTACTGCACTCTTTCTCACACAATGCAAATATATTCGTGACTTACTGATCAGGGAAAATATGCATGATGCTAAGGCAATCTCTTCTCCTATGCCCTCAAGCTGTAAACTCACCAGTATTGATTTCAATTGTTTTTCTGATCCATCCTTATATCACTCCATATTGAGAGCTCTTCAATATGTTACCATAACCAGACCAGAGATAAGCTTTACAGTAGATAAGGTTTGTCAGTTCATGAGTCAGCCTTTAGTGGACCATTGAAAGGCTGTCAAACGGATTCTGAGGTATCTCAAAGGGACTTGCACCTTCGTCTCTTTCTTCAGTTAGTTAATCCTCATCTTCCTTTCTCATTGTGTGCCTTTTGTGATGCTGACTGGCCATTGACTCATATGACAGGAGATCTACTTCTCGGGCATGCATATTTCTTGGTCCCAATCAGGTTTCTTGGTGGTCCAAGAAACAAAACGTGGTTGCTAGATCCATCGCTGAAGCAAGATATAGAAGCCTAGCTCTTGCTTGTTCAGAAGTTCTGTGGATTAAATCTCTTTTGAATGAGTTGCAACTTCCTTTCTCCACTCTTCAGATTTTATGTGGTAATTTGAGTGCAATTCCTTTGTCTCACAATTTCGTTTTACATGCAAGGACAAAGCATCTTGAACTTGACATTCGCTTTGTTTGAGAAAGGGTTCTTGTCAAGGAACTTCTTGTTTCTCATGTTCTTGTTTCTACCCAAGTTGTAGATACCCTCGCCAAGGCTCTCTCACCCATCAGATTTGCTGAATTAAGACACAGGCTCAGGGTCTTGGATTCTGGTCCTCAGCTCCACCCTCTTGAGCTTGAGGGGGAGTATTAGTAGTAGCTGATATCTTTTACTGTTTTACCTTTGTTACTTTACCATGTTGTATCGTATTATTTTACTTGTGCACACGGGGGATAGTTTTACCTATTAGTTGTTACTGTAACCACTTACGGTTACTTAGTTAGGATTGTTAGTTGGGTTCTGGTGGAACTTGTGACTCACTGTTGAGTCACTTTCTTCTTTATAAATAGGACAAGTGTCCTGATACATGTATTTCCTTTTGTATGATATAGATCAGAATACACTTTCTCTTCATCTTTCCTTTCTCTTTCCTCTCTCTTTCTCACTCAGTTTTTCTTCTTCATTGATGGCTTCCACATTGAACTTCAATATCATCTCTCTTCTTTATGTGTAGATGTTGAGATGTAGAGAATAGTATAAACTATTAAAAAGGCCCTCACCTAAAAGCTTAAGCTTTACATGATATCAAAGCCTCGGTGTCATGGGTTCGATCCTCACCGTCCCCCACTTTCTCTTGTGGAATTTCTTAGCACAGGTAGACTGGGCCTGATGCATCATCCATCCTTCAAACCAAATGGGTTCTCGTGTGAGGGGACATGTTAGAGAATAATATAAACCATTAAAAAGGCCCTCACCCAAAAGTTTAAGCTTTATATTATTGTTGGAATATTCAAGTGTGATGAATTCCACATTGGTTGGTAATAGGCTAAGTGAAGTCCATATAAGTGGGAAGACGCATGAACCAATGCCTTAAGGGTTTTGGGTTGTGACTTGTGACATGGTGTTGGACTTGCCTGATGTGGTTATTTTCTCATTGTTAAAGTTTATACAAATCCTAGAAGGGTTTTGAAGTAGTGGATCTCGAGGCAGCAAGGTGGAGTTGATGATGGATGATTATTGTCTAAATGCACGAGTAGAACTTGATCTTTAGTTTTAGCAGCTTGAACCATAAATTTTGAGGAGTTTTACTCTGTTTGACTATCTCCATATAATGTTTGGTCCATAAAATACTATTTTGTTGTAAGATTATTTTTAGGGTCCAAATTGGTACTGCTGGCCTATGTTAACTGAGATGTTTAAGTTGCTAAATGGGCTTTGTATCTTCTCATTTGTATTAATTGTTTTCTTTTTAATACTTATATGTAGTAACCATTTTCTAATTTTGTTTTATCTCCCACCTAAAAGGGTAATAATATCTGCATTTTTAGGCAGCGCATTACCATGTAGAAATTAAATGTATTTAATACAAAGTTGGCCTCTCTATGGTCTTTAAACAGTTTTGTTACATTCATATTTGAATTCATCAGGAGACTAGCATCATGTAAGACCAAGGTAGTCAAAATCGTGTTGAGTTCTTTTGACTTGGGCAATCCAACTCGGTTGTGGTATTGGGTTCGGTTGGGATCACACAGGATCGCCGAGCAACGTTGCAAAAACGGTGAAATCATTATTTAACCGTTTTAGACGATCTGCGAATAGAGAACCCATTTCTATTTCATCTACCTAGAACCCCTTCATTTTTCATATACTAATGGAGAATCGAACAAAGAGAAAGAGAGAACCCCTGCGAACCCTACCCAGCAACTGAACTATCTATCCTGTGTTCGAGCCTTTCTTCTGTGCGAAGCCCCAGCCTCTAATAGAAGCACAATGTATGTGTTTCTTGTGTGATGAGGACTTTCTCTTCAAAACTGAAATTAGGTTTTTCAATTTTAACTTTAGTTTGGACTAGATTGGGCCTGCTGAACCATTGTTAGTGTGGGCTGAAACTTGGGTTTTCAGTTTTAGTTATTATCTTTCATTAATATATTTTTATCTACTTTTTAAATAAATAAGATGTAAAATAGTATACATATTTTTTGTGTAAGTATAATTTGTATTTAATTATATATTTCACATATTTAAAATATAAAACATAATAAATTGTTTTTATATTTAAATGAAATGGAATTATAATTGAATATTAATCACTAATTATTTACAATATGGATATTCTTATGAAAATGAAAATAAATGACATCAAAATCTTAGTTTTAATTACATTTTAATAATGATTTAGAGGTTTTTTATTTGTGTTTATATATATATATGTGTGTGTGTGTTAAAAGATAAGATCTTAATGATACGTGTTGATCTCTCGATTTACAATCTTTTCAACCCCTTCCGATCTTAGGTAGGATCTTGAGTTTAACTACCATGACACAAACATTAAATTTGTTGTCAGATATTCCTATAGCATTTTTTGAGTAGCGAATTTTATTTTTATTGTTTTCCCTTTTTGTATTCCATATATCTTCTTTATTCAATTTTCTTCTTTTATAAGCAATGAAGTTTGTACTTGTTGTTATCATTGTTAATCTTCTTTGATTGCTGATGGTTGGTTTTATTGTTGTACACTTCTAATTTTATTGTATTTACTTTTGAATAACTTCTTTCTTTAGAGTATTCAATTATTCATCAGTTATAACCTTTTTTTTGGGTTGCTTCCAAATGACATGAATGCCTTTAATAGTAATATGATCTTGTGGCTTATGATTGAATATTTTTGCTGGCAATATTTTTATCATTATTTTTCTGTCTTACAGTTGAATATTTTTTCCTGTGACACTTGTCAACAAATGTTGCACCATTGAATATATTAAATTTAAGATTGGAGTAAATAACTGTTTTTTTTGGCAATTCTTGATTATTCTTATTGATTTTCTATTTCTTTCTATTTTTCAAGAAATGAACCTCCAGTATTACCTAACCAGCAAGCAAAGAAAAGGCGCCGTAAGGATATATCGAAGAATTCTGGTGAAGAAGATGGTCATGGATCAAATAATCATGTTAAAGTGGGCAAGACAGCTGCTGGAAAGAATGCATTGTTACCTGGGAAGAATATGTCTAATTCCTCACAGAATTTTGTTGTACCGGGTGAACATTATGAAGACTTGAAATTTCGGAATCAATTGGATATCTCTGGAATTAGTTCAAAAAAGAAAATTGCTGATACTAGACCAATATCAGATCCTTCTGTCTGTTTGAAAGTATCAAATGATGATGTTCCCTCTTCTGTGGCAGAAGCAAAAGATGCTGATAAACAGAAGATAGGAGTACTTCAATCTAAGAACACAAGTCATAAATATAAAGATGCAAGTGGATTGCTTGATACTTCTCATCAGAAGTTCCATGAAAAAAATGCATATGCACATTCCAAATCCCAACTTGGAACACCCCCAAGCAAAATTGATGAGTTAGAAAATACAGGTCGGTCAAAAGAAAAAAATGGCACCCGTGAACTACCAGATCTTAACTTGTCTGTGGGAAAATCTGCTCTTCAAGCACCAGTAAGTTTACTTCTTTTGCTTTTCTGTTGTCTTTATTTTAATTTCAAGATGATAAATAATTTAAAGAAACAAGTAATACCAAGAAAATGTTCTCTGCGGCATTTCTATCAATTTATTTTTTCTATTCAGCATTAAATTAAAGGGTTCTACCACTCAGGCATAGTTATCCCACGAAGCATGATGGAACTGCCCACCAAATAACACTTTCTTTGTAGAATCAATTTGCATTGCAATTAGCACATCAAATCTTACATTTAGGCATGACATGTTGTGTGCCAAACAAAGTGCATACAACATTAGTCAACTTGGTGAGTTAACATGTTCTAATTACTGTGACTACTGATGGTGAAAGTGGAATCTTATGTGTGCAAGTGTAGCATGTACTATATTAGTCATGAGTTGGGTTGAATCTTATGCAGAAATCTGAAAACATGCTCAAGAAAGATGGTTCTAGTGTCAGGCCAAAAATTACAATGCTTGAGAAAGCTATTCGGGAGTTAGCAAAGATGGTTGCGGAATGTAAGTTATGAAATTGTTTTGTAGGTTTACATGTCTCATAGATAGGCAATGTGGGAAGTTCATTCATAATGCTAATTTTGTTTCCTTTCTTTTTTGTTTGAATATTATTACAGCAAGGCCACCAGCTGTGGAAAACCAGGAGGCTGATAGCACGTCCCAGGCAGTCAAACGAAGATTGCCAAGAGAAATAAAGCTAAAACTTGCTAAAGTTGCTAGATTAGCGGTACTGGCAAAATTCTGCTTTCCTTTATCCCAAACAAGTTGGGTTTGGTAGTCGATGAACCCATATAAAAGAAAAAATAGATTAAGGAAAAATAAATAATAAGTAAATGAATAAATAGGAAAATTCTACCCTGCCACAATTTTAATAGTTTTTCTCCACTTTGTTGCTCCTCCAATAAAAACTTTGTTAAAATAGCTCGCCACCTTTCTTTAACTTTTGCATAGGTATTTTTTATTTTTTTTATTTTCATCCTTGAGGTACCTAACCTGGGTTAAGTCTTTACTTTTCTTATCCCTTATCTTTGCAAGCCCATAGATACATTTTTCTCCTTCTTTGATTTTAATTTTTTTACATCTCGGTGAAAACTTTGCCTCTAGCGACACTGCTTTCCTGACATTTGTTCTAGCCAATCTAAATTTTTTCAAATTCTCTTCAAGATATATATATATATATATATATATATAAATTTCTTCAGGTCTTTGAACATTGTGATATCAAATGTATGTTTTTTGTTGCAGCAGGCAAGCCAAGGGAAACTTTCGAAGGAGTTAATTAGCCGTCTTATGAGTATTGTTGGGCACCTGATGCAACTCAGAACACTAAAGGTATTTCAGCCTTTTAAATATGATAGATAGCCTTTTAGTATCTGTTGTTTCAGTTATCAACTATAATTTGTCAATTGTCACCATCACTATTGGTTGTCAGTGAGATGATTGGTGCAGTTATTTCAGTCTGATACTATTTGTCACCATTACCATTGGTAAGGCTGCCTATTATAAAAAAAAAAAAATCACTTCTCGTTAAACCCGACTAGCGAGTATGGGGTGGAGAAAATCCTTGTACACAGCCTTACCCTTGCATAATTGCAAAGAGGCTGTTTCCTGGATTCGAATCCATGACCTTTCAGTCATGAAAGAACAGTTTTACCACTGCTCCGGTTTGCCCCCATAATGGGTCTGGCTTTTGCTTGAACTCCATGCATATTGGGAGCTTTGTAATGTCAGGGTTGTTACGTAGAGTTGAGACTAAAGGTTGTATCTCGTTCAAGTCAACTATCCTGCTGTCCTCCATCCTGAACTTTTGAACAATTTGTTGTTTGTTTAAAACTATTAGTATATGATTCAACAATTCCATAGTTATGCTTTGAATACATTCGTGACATAAATCACATTGTGGTTTAAGTGACTTTTGTGACTTCTGAAAGATTATTTCTCTTTTTTTCCTTTTTATTTTCCCTTTTGTTTGTGTACTTCAATGTGACATGGCTGTTGAGTCTATCAAATTCTTCTCGAAATGATAGTCTGCCAATTTTTAGTTTAATAAAAACTGTTCTCTCTTGAGAAATGAAGGACCTGTTTGTTTAAGATTTGGAGACTATCAATTTGGTCTTATAGATTGATTCTAATAGTAACTGATCATGTTTGCTTGGTTTTTCAAGCTCACATTTTTTATGCATAGAATTGATCTTAGGAAAAATAAAATTTTGTTGTTGCTTTATTGAATAGAATATTTTAGTAGTGGGAAGGACCTGGAGATTTTTCAAAAGAATCTCTACACTCAACACTGCAAAATCGATTTTAGTAAGTGAGATTCTAATTTTGGGAGATATCCCTATAATTACACTTTAAAAGTTATTCTGCTCTATAAAAATCAAACAAAGTCAATTTTGAAATCAATTCTTTTACAATCCATCCCCAAAAGGCAATTTTCCAACATTATTTATTGTGTATGTCATAATCTTAAAGTTTTCATGACTATTCTTCTTTGTTTATATTCATTATTGTATAGGCATGTATTGTTTCCCTTGGTGCTTGAAATTACTTATTTTCTCATGTAATCTCTTCCTGCTGCAGAGAAATTTAAAAATTATGATTAGTTCAGGTTTGTCCGCGAAGCAGGAGAAAGATGATAGGTTTCAACAGACAAAGAAGGAAGTTGTTGAGATGATAAAGATACAGGCCCCATCTATGGAATCCAAGGTTTATTATAGTTACCCTTGCTATTTCATTCTTTATCAGATATTGGTAAACTAGCTTCTATGTGGTTGTTTTTTACTCATTCAATACTTTTTTTTTCTTATCTTAGCTGGCACATCAGTACTCTATTTTCATTCCCCCATATTATATTATAATCCATAGTATACTTATTTTCGTTCTTTCTTATGGATGCTTCTCTTAATGGATTCAATGCAATTTTTGGTTTGGCGGTTTGCTGTGCAAATCCTGATTTTGGCGTGCTTACTTATGTATCATTTACCTGGAAAGGAATTTCATTAGCTGTAATTATGACACTGAATCTTGTTTTCTTTTTTACATTATCTGATATTGCACTGTATCTTGATTACATATTTTCTGGAAACAATTATGCTTTTGATCAACTAATATTTTGTTTTTTCTAATTTGGGATGCTGCTTATATTTTCCTGGCATTTCAGCAACAGCAACAAGCTGGAGCATCTGGGGATCAAGAGTTAAATCCTGATGGAAAACCAATAGCTAAAAAGAATTTTAGTATGGACACTGCATTGGAGGACAAGATTTGTGATCTCTATGACCTTTTTGTTGATGTACAGAAATTTGAGCCTTGAATACTTATTTTGAAGTTCTGTTTGGATTGAAAAAGCTTGTTCTTATTGATTCTTGTTTGCAATTGTTCTAGGGATTGGATGAAAATTCAGGTCCGCAAATCAGAAAGTTGTATGCTCAGGTGGTTCAAATTTTCTAAGTCTTCCTCTCAATATTGTTCTTGGATTGCTTGTGTTATGTTTATCTTGAGCTGTATCATGAATTTATGTTACCGGCGATCACAACTTTTTTTTTTTTGACCTGCTTCCTGAATTGAGTTTGATTTGGTTTATCTGTGGCTCCTCATTAAGTTAAAATTACTTAAGTATTTGCATATAAAATCACATCACACAGTGTACTCTATTTGAATTCCCTCCTTCTATCAAGAAAAGAAAATGGTTCTGAATTGGTCTTTTCACCCATGTAAATTTACTTCACTGCCATTTTGACTTTTTTTTTTGCTTCCTAGTCCTCAAACAATTCTCATCGTTTAGGGGCCTTTGTGTTACTTTTGTGTGTGTTTATGTTGAATGTGTAGGTTCTGGTGTCCCAAGTTAATCTGTTTGCATTTTTATAAACAACATAATTTTTTCGAACTCTCAAGTCCCATGTCTTCTTCAGCTTGCGGAATTATGGCCAAATGGTTACATGGACAACCATGGGATCAAACGAGCAATTTGCAGGGCAAAAGAGAGGCGCAGAGCACTGTACAGCAGACATAAGGTATGGCATTTGCAGTGAATAATAACCTATAACTTTGGTGAGTAACATTCTAAAAATGAAGAACATTTTTCCCTTGTTCTTAAAGTTATATAAATTTAAGAGAAGAGTTTTATAACATAGTTTGTGTTCTAGCCTGTAAATACTTATATGGTATGTCCTCATTGAAAACTATACATGCCTGGGCTTTTAGTTCTTTTTCCTTGTCATAACCTAAAATTGGCGTAGAATGACACCTATTTCAATATTTTGTTGGGGCTTTAAATAGATAACAATGGATAATGAACTGCAGAAAATATTGTCAATATATTCAGTTATTGAAACTATTATATCCTGGATGTATTAAATCTTCTTTACTATAGTTAAAATGGAAATTCATATTTTGTTACTTCTGGATTCTTAATTGGACATGGTTCTGTTTTCAACAAGAATATGATACGCTAGTTGGATGGAAGATTGTTACTATTTCTTCGGTGGCTTTTGGCATTTTTTCTGGTCCCTCTGTCTGTCTCTCTCTTCGTTATTGATCATTCTTGTTAATGTGATGTTATTGTTTTTCTCAACAACGGAAGTGTGCTTTGTTCCATGAGTTGATCAATGATCTCCCATTTCAAAGAATAGTATTTATTTCTGGATTTTACTTTTCCATTCTGTGCGTCTGTTCCGGTCCCCATTTCTTCTTATGTTTCCCTCCCCATGTGACTATTGGCTATGCTATCTATTTTTTCGCTGTTCTAATGATGGCAGCATACTTCTTTAGAAATCTCTATATTTTATCACTGTTTTTGAATTTCAGATAAATATCTATGTTGGTAGTTGGTGGTTTTGAATCCCAAGTGTTGGAATGGGAGAGCTTGATTTTTGTTCTTTTAATGTTCAGATAACAAGCAAGATTTTATATTTGGTAGAATAATGTTTAGTTTATTTTGATCTCATTGGTTTATCCTTATTGTTAGGATCAGGAAAAGATAAAGAGGAAAAAGTTATTTGCACCTCGGCCAGAGGAGAATGTTCAATTTAATGCTAGCTCAATTAATTCGCAACAAAACACGCGTGAGAGATCAGCTTCAGAATCTAGCAGTCATGCTTTTGCTTCTGTGAACAAGGCAGTTTCTAATACAGCTACAGCTGCTCGGGTTCTCAATCCTTCAGTAAATGGTCCAAAACAAGAAAAATCAAAGGGAAGTTCAAGTGGTTCCCTGGATGATGTCAAGGCTGCAGATGGTGTTTTAATAAAGAAGAAGGTAAAGAGAAAGCCAGAACTGGAGCTGGAAGGAACTCATTTTCGCCCTGAGAAGCTGGCTTCTATGCAGGGAGAAGAAAGGCCTAGGTCCCTAAAGCAGTCTGTAGTTCTTTCCCCCAAATCAAACCTTCAAACATCATCTCTCCCTGGTCTTGAACAGTCAAGCTAACATGATATCAACTATGATGTTTAGACAAAGGAATGTCCGTGTATCACAATTTTTTGTTTTTTTACTATTTTATTTTTCTCTCAATCCTCCCCTCCCAAAATCAATTTGTATCCTACTAATTGTTACCATTTTTGTAATTAAATATCCTTGCAAGGTCTTGCTGGTAGTGGTACTTTTGCATTCAGCTTGCAATTTTGATGGGAAGACAAGCTTTAGTTATCTAGAATTGAGATTGAGTAGAGTAGTTATACTTGGCTTAAGACAATTGAAGTAAATTTTTGTGGTTCTCGAACACGTGTCATTGATCAAAATTCAATTTGAAGTGGCCTAGCTAGAGGTTAAACTACAAAGGATAAAATTCTTCTAAAATAAACTTGTCTGTCTTTACTGTGAGCGAGTTACGATGTATTTATTTTTAACTTGAGTTCAGTTGCATTGTAATTGGGCTTATGCCCTCCCTCTGTACAAAAAGAAAAATAAAAAAAATTGCATTATAATTTTAATCTACAAAATTTTCAAGATTTTGTGAGAGATTGATTTTGTCCCGTCCAAACAATATTAGCGCTTATATGACAACAATGAACTTATGTGTTGAGTATTGGTTCAGGACCTCAATCGATAGCTTGATTTGATCCAAAGTTAATTAGAGTAGTTTGAGTCTTCAAAATCAGATGTGTGTTTTTGGATTTGGGCACGAATTCAAAGATATAACCGATTAACTCTGTTTGAATATTGTTTTTTTTATTTAAAAAATTATTTTGAATATAAATTCTGAAAACTGATTTTGAGAGTAGGAGAATAACAAAACTTGTTTAAATATGGTTCGATTTAAAGTTATAAAGAAGTAATGTTTATTTATAAAAATATCATCAATGAACTTTTATAATTACAAAATTGTCAGCTCAAAATACTTTAAAATTGAAAAAAATTTGTATTTATTTATGAAAGTGTCATTGATGAATTCTCATAATTATAAAGTGCCATTAATAATTCTCAAGGACTCAGGTTCTGACTTCTCAAAGGGGTTCACATGGTTGAATCAGTTCGAAAAAAAAAAAATTGAATCAATTATTTTTCTTTAATTATTAATATTTTTATTTATTTTCTTGAAAATCAGTTCATAATTGATTCTTAAAAAATAAAATCAGTTTGATTCTGCTAAAAGGCTAAAGAGAACCATTAAGATCAGTTGGGTTATCGAAATTAAACAAATTGTGTTCTGCTTTTTTTCCTAAAAATTATTTTGTAGAATAGTTAATAAAATAAGTTTTTTTTTTAAGTTAAAAGTCAAAATACAAAACAAAAACAATTAAAATATATTTTCTAAATTTGATTTTAAAAATTATTTTAATAATTATAATTTTTAAAATTATTTTTGCAAAACATACATTATCAAACAAGTTTTTTTTTTTCTTATTTTGAAAATTAAAAAACTGTTCTTGAAAAATTACTCAAACAGGCCTAAAATTGGCTTGTGTTCATCATAAATAACCAAACTGAACGAAACTATATCCATGTCTTGTTCAAGCACGATTTTGGATGAATTGATTATGAGACAAACTTTATTTATGTCATACGTGCTCAATAATAAAAGGTAAAACGATTTTAGTGATTTTTTTACTTGAAATAATCCCACCCAAATCATAATATAACATCTACAAAATTATTTATTAACTTAATTTGAAACATGGTTGTTTCAGCGTGTTCGGGAATTAAGAGTTTAACCTCATGCCACTGCGGAGTATCTTATTTTTGAATATCATTAGGCTTTCACTTTACCTTTACGAGGCGTTTGGTACAGAAGAAATTTTTATTTGTCCGAGAATCTCGATTTTCAAAAATATAATTTTTATATTCAGTTTACGATAATATCTGAAAATTTAAAATTTTAAAAATTTCAGTTTCCCGGAAATTCGAAAAAAATCCGTGTACCAAACGACCCCTTAAATAAATCGGAACGTATCTTATATTTTTAGTAAGATTAAATTATGATACTCTCTTTTTTATTTATTTTAAGGGATAGATTATTCTATCTCTTTTTTTTTTTTGCTTACTTTTTTCTATCACCCTCCAATACCGTTAAATCAGAATTTAAAAAGGAGAGAAAAAAATAAATGTTAATTAAAATTTTAATCTAAGAATATTTGAAAGTGATAGGTAAAGATAAGCGAAAAAAATAGTAGGTATTTTAAAAGCAAATTTACTTTAAAAGAGTTTTTCCAACCATTATTTAAAAAGATTATGAAGATTTTTCTCTATATGGTGCATAGAATACAAGAAGATGAACCACACTAAGCTGCATCATACCACAGCACAATCCACATACAGAATCTGAACTCCGAACTTACTTTCCCGCGTTTTTTCTTCTCTTCACGCACACCAAACTCATTCCACAATCTTCTTCACTTCAGTTCACCTCTTTTTTTTTTTTTATTTCCCTCTCTCAATTAATTTGAATCTTATTCCCTTTCCAAGTGCAAGGAATCACAGCAACATCATCAACAACAACAAGAAGTACCTACGCTTAAGAAAGAGAGAGAGAGAGAGGGAGAGAAATCGGAGAAGAAGAAGATGTTGAAGACGAATGCATTTCACGGCGCGAACGTGTTCATGTCGCGGAACCTCGTGCCGCCCGAAATCTTCGACGCGCTCCATGACGCCGTCAAGGATAACGGCGCCGAACTCCACCTTTGTTGCGATCCTTCACGCAATGGCCCCAATGATTACCACATCATTTCTTCCAATAAACACGTAATTCCTCAATTCCACCCTCCTCTTTTGCGTTTTATTTATTTATTGTTGATTTCGTTCTCCGTTTTGCAGGAGAAGTTTGAGGATCTTAAAGCCAAGGGTTGTAAATTGCTTGGTATGTGTTGCAGATCTAATTTTCCAATTTTCCTTGCAACAATGATTTTAGGAGCTGTCAGTAATGTTTGTGTTTGAAATTGCTTTCAATTGATGCTATGAGATGAAAATTTGATAGTTGGAACAGTCTTTAGTGTTTGTGTTAGACAATTCGAGCATCCAGGTTTTGATAAGCCATGTGCATCTTTAAGGTTTGAGCGCTCGTGATAGTATGCTTTCTCTCTATTCATGTGTAGTGGCGTTGGTTTCCATAGTCGAAATTGAAATTGGTTTGGCTTCCTGAGATTTGTTTCATTCTTATTGAGCAGGTCCTAGATGTGTTCTTTCATGTGCTAAAGAGCATAGGCCTCTGCCTAAACAGGGATTCACTTGTTGCCTTGCCATGGATGGTGTCAAAGTACTTGCATCTGGCTTTGGCACAGTTGAGAAGGTATAGTCGTTGTTGTCCATGTTTGAATGTTTCCTTTTTTCTTTTTATTTACTGAAGTTTGCTGAAGGGAAACCTTGGCACAACTGTTGGTATTGTCGCTATGCGACCTAGAGGTCACAGGTTTGATCCATGTAATCAGCCTCTTGTAAATGCAAGGTAAGTCTGCTTATTATAGACTCACACAATGGGTCTGACCCTATCCTGTATATAACAAGAGCTTTATAGCACCAGATCCCCCCCTCCCCTTCTTTCACAGAAGGTTTCTGTGATATATTAATTTTTCATTTTGTTCTTGCCGTTTAGTACTATCTAGTTCTCTTTGGTTAGCATACTGTCTCTTCTTGAACCTTACCCAACGAAAAGATAGAAAAAGAACATTGGAAAACGAGGAACAAATATTTCTTTTGAGGAGTAATATTCTAAAATCAAATAAGAGTTATAAAATTTCTTTAATATAAACAACTTCTGATTTTAAATATTTTTACTAATTGCGGTGTAGTGATTATCATTTTCCATTCATATTTTCAGTATCCCCCCCCCCCCCCTCCCCCGTCCTCCTCCTCTTTTATTTAAAGCTAACATATGGAATTATGATTTTTTTGTTCTCTTCATTGATTTGACTTTCTTAATCTTGATTAAAATTTTGTTACCATTGTGCTTAAGGCCCTTCAGTTTTCAGTTATTTTCTCTTATTGTCTTCTTCATTCCTCCCTCCTTATTTTTGCTCTCAACTACAGTGTTTAATGCATGTGACCCTGCAGGTTAAGATAGAAGAGTTTGTGATTGAAATGGGGGGAGTTCTACACACGAAAGCATCACTGGATTTGAACTTTGTCATTGTGAAAAATGTTTTAGCTGCAAAGTACAAGGTCTGGTACATGAAGTTTTTGTTCCATATTTCCATTGTATTCTTAATTGTGACATACTTTTTTTATTCTTACAAGCAAGAGTCTTTCTTTTCTGTCTTATTATGTTCCATTTTATTCATATTCCTAAAATATGTATATTCTCTCTTGCATCTTATAATCCCCTCCCTCAATGTACGCACATAAAAAGCACTTGGGGAATTGTGTGCAATTATGGACATTAAAGTCAATGGAAAGAAATACTTCATTGCTTGACATTTGTTGAAGGGAGTAACACAGCATTTGGTCCATAGGAGGAAGCTTCTGGACTTGGACATATTTGGTGTTAATTGGCTAGTACTATAGGGAGTAGTGATAATTTTTTTTTTTTTTTTTTTTCATTTTCATTGTAATGTCTTAGGACTGTTTGGTATGATGCATGATTTAATCTTTCTCAGCGATTACATTTGAAGTCAATGTTTTTCAGCCTTAAGTAGAATCTTAAACTAATGACGAATTGCTTTTTGTAATTTGAAGCCGAGGTTGGTTCACTGGTTGTAATATTTTATGGAAATTGTAGAAATAGAAAAGGATCAGAGTGAGAACTTTCATCTATGTAAATATGTAAGTGGCAAGCACTGTACACCTCAGTGTTATTTATAACTGAGAAAGAGGCTCTATGAAGTTTGTAGTATAAAAGTATGTGTATATACAATAAATAATGCAACCACAACAAAAACCAAGTCTTATCCCATTAGGAAGGATTGGTTTACATGGTTCAGTTGATGCCAATTGGCTCTAACAAAATGAAAATTCCAATTAAACCAAGTGAGAGTGATAGAGAACCAAGTAACAAGCAAGGAAAGAATTAAAAAAAAAAAAACACACTGTATTAATAATCTGAACTTTTCCAACTTGGTTACAGCTCAAATATTACACTGAAAATTCCCAGAAAATTAACCAAGTCAAGAAGAGAAGGTTACAAGTAAATGACAGACTCAAGACAAGAAATTCCACAAAATTAACTACAACCCAGGGTATTAGGGGCTGATTGTGTGACCACCAAATATGCATTCCTTTTAACTAACTGCTGACTCAGCAGTAGGGGCTTGTGATCCTCTACATCTCTTCCTTGCGTAAACTTTTCTGAACCTGTTACTTAGTGCCACGTCCTTATCAGAGAGCAATCATATGCTCTAAGATTGTAACAAATGGAGACAATTCAATGACCTCGAGACTTTTGTTCATACATTTGTTAGTTGGTAATTCAAGTTGACTAAAGTAGTTGCAATGCACCCTGATAAGATCTTCTGTCAGATGAAATGACTAAAATAGTTTGTTGATCCTTCTTGCGGTCGTGATTTAACTAAATTTTATGTCCTTAGTCATGCCTCAGTGTTCAGTGAAATTTGATATATCTATTTTCAGTGGAATAAGTTGTTGTTTGGCACTCATTTTTTTTGTGCTTTGCTCTGTTTAGCTTAGCTCCCAAATTGTTGGTGGCTAGTGGTGGCTAATATTCTTTTAATTGAGCTCATGTTTTGTTTCTTGGTCTATCTCATTGTGTTTTGAGTCTGGCTACATGTCAACATTGCGTCTAGACAGCCACTTTATTATGGAAATTCACAGATGTGAAAAACTTATCTGCCTATTTTAAATATTCAAGCTGTCGGTTCTGCTTGTGTGATAATTCAACAGACCAGTTCCGCATTCTTATCCAATCTTTGTGGGGGTTTTAATTGTCATTGAACTTATGTTCATGCTATACAATCTAATATACATTGCTTTAGTCTGGCAGTGGGCATTGAATATCCTGAAGAAACCAATAGTCACTTATGAATGGTTAAAGCAATGCTCAGAGGAGCATCGTGTTGTTCCTCAAGAGTCATACAAGGTCCTTCCTTTCTCCGGGTTAGAGATTTGTGTTACTGGAATCCCAGCAGGTTATAACTTAGCTATCTGCTAGTATTGGTCATAATAAAATGCTTTTTGGTGGATGCTGATTTGCTCGAGTTTTTCAGATACGCGCGGAGAAATGAAGGAGCTTATTTTACAAAATGGTGGAAAATATTCTGCGGAACTGACAAAGAAGTGCACACATTTGATTTCTAACATATCCTTCTGAAAGATATCTTAAATAATGGTGTTTCTTTTGGGCATGCAAATATTCATCTATTATTCAAAAAGTGGGGTGCACATCTCTTTGTTTTTTAGCAAAACCTTTTGTCACAGCTTCAATTTCAGCTGCATAAGTGTGTTTCTTAATTTTACTTTAGGGTCATTTTTATTGTTGGATCATCAGCTTCTTGGTACAGAGGCTCAAGTCTGCATTAACATTTTCATTATTTTGCACTCAGAATAATATCTGCTTTTTGATACTGTAATGCTGCACATATTAGTGCTTATTGATAATCAGTTGACAAAAGATTGAGCTATTGTCCATTGGCTATTATAGAGCATGCATTTTATTTCTTATCATCAATCTCAATCCATTTGTCTTATACGGCCACACTTCCCCTGGACAAATTTTGTAAACATTTTGAGTTTGAACAGAAAAGAATTGAGATTCATTTAGACAAGAATTCGGATTACCTGCTTTGATGCCTTGATACTTGATAGTATTCAGCTTTGTTATTTGTTCTTCTTAATCTGTTAGAACGAATGACAATTTGTTTATATTCAGATTGTTCTTCTTAACAGTCTGCAAATAATTTTCGGATTGATTTTTTTCTACACTAGTTGGCAAAATTGTTGACGTTTTGTTTCGTAGTAGCTGTATAAGTGAACCTTTTGAGGAGACAGATTTCTGTATATGATATTTTTTTGTGAGGTGTTATTTTATTTTTCTTGTCTCAGTGTCTCCTATTGCATTGCCATAGGGCTTAGATGCCCTGATTAATTGCAATTTGTATAAAAGTTTGAAAGGTTTGTTCTTTTCATTTGCTGTGCTTGCAATCCTCTATGACTGAGTAATTCTGAGTTTGAACTCAAAGATCTATTGTTGTGGTTTAAAGTTTAAGCATGGTGGATATTTGTGTTCTTGACTGTTCTTACGCTCCTGAAGGTGCCAAACATAAGGTGGCAAAGTGTTGGGGCCACATTCATGTTGTGTCAACGAAATGGTTTGATCAATCTATTGCTCGAAGAGGTAACTTATATGTTTTAATGCTGTATATTTCAAAATCTTTTGAGTTTCAAACTGAACATTAGGATTCCACTGGTTAGAATATTAGTGTTATTATGGCGTTGGGAGTCTTATTGTGTCAGGAATTATTGGATTGGGCTTATACTAGTTGTACAACACTTGTGCTTGAACCAAATTTCATTTTGGTCTTTCAGAGATATATGCGATATCGCATTGGTACTCCATTCATTAGTGATATAAATTGGTCCTTCAATGATAATTAATGCTATCAGTTTTGTCTCTCAAGGAACAATTTGATGTCATTTTAAGGACCAAGTTGACGTTGCGTGTATCTTTGGAGGAACAATTGTTGTATTTATAAATGGAGGAAAAATGTGATGTCACGTATATCATTGGATTGGAAGACTAAAATGGGCATTTACTCTATACATAGGAGTGTAAGGTTCATTTTTTGTATCTGTAAAGAACCAATTCAACCCAAAAGCTTACGCTATTAAGTGAAGGCCCATCAATGATTTATATTTTTTCTAACACACCCCTCACACGAGAGCCCACTGGGCATGAAGGGTGGATAATGCACAGGCCCACCTACTTGTGCTAAGAAATTCCACAAGAGAAAGTGGGAGGCGGTGAGGATCGAACCCATGACATCGAGGTTCTGATATCATGTAAAGAACCATTTCAACCCAAAACCTTAAGTTGTTAGGTGATGGTTTTAATGTAACCTCACCCACAGCACAAGCTTTTGGGTTGAATTGGTTCTTTACAGTATCATTACACAATTATTCTAAGCTGTATTACTTAAATATATTCTCTCCTTTTTCCTTTCCATGTCATCTATAAATTTTCAATGCCACATACAGTACCTGACCATCAATTTTTATTTATTTGTATTTTTTTTTTCATGGATAGCATGTCTGAATGAGGAATCATACCCTGTTCAGAATGGATCTGTATCTTCACATAAAGTAACTAGGGACTTAAATGTGCAACACAGCCAAGAAAAGGATATTGGGAAATTGCAATCTGAGGCATCCTCAGGAGCTACAGATTTAAATATGCCAGTTTTTTCTAATGCTGAGTTTATGGATATAGATCTAGAAGCTACACAGCCAGAACACATATCTTCCTCAAATGCTCCTTTATTTGCTAAAGAGGCAGATGCTGAAGCACCTCCAGTGCAGACCAGCAATGAATTGAACTTTGATGGTGCTGTTGCCAATGATTCTGAAACTGATGATAATGACCTGTACTTATCAGAGTGCCGAATATCACTTGTTGGCTTCGAAGCTTCTGAAATGCGGAAACTAGTTAGTATGGTGCGTAAAGGTGGAGGCTCCCGATATGTGTCTCTTAATGACAGGTTGACGCACATAATAATTGGGAATCCTACAGAAACGTACGTCTATTCTGATATTTAGAAGAAACTTCTTGGATGCATATCATGTGTCTGTTTCTTGATAGCTTCACTGAATCTGTGTTAGATTGTTAGCATTATTAATTTTGATGATACGTGGATGTTACTTTCACTAATATAGCTATTTTATAGGCTTAGTTTGGCCAACCTTACTCCTTTTCTAATACGTATGATTTATCTTCACATTCATTTGTGTTTTTTAAGGGAAAAAAAAGATGTAAGGAGTCTTGCTGCTTTGGGTGTCATTTATGTTGTTAAAACCTCATGGCTTGAAGATTGTGACCGTGAGAAGAAAGAAGTTCCTGTTCTTAGAAGACACATAGCGCTTGATCTAATTCTTCCAAAAGGTCTGCTATTATGATGTTAATGTGTGTGTCTGTCCGTGTCTATTGCCTCTTAGTCATGTTCAAGCTGGAGAATGCTTTTTGGTTAATCTTAGATTTTTCTTAAATAATTTATGTATATGCTTTTATGAATTCATGCTTTCTCCTCCTCTGATTTCATAAATTCAGCAAGCTTGGTAAATGGAGCAGTAACAAGCATTATGTCCATGGATCAAGGTAAAAGATCTGGCTTTCATCAAAGTTTACAGACTGATCAGGTGGTGGGTATCACAGACTTCGGAGTTGTAATGCCAAAATCTTTGGAGAAAGACAAAGAAGAGAAACTGGGTATTGGTACAAACGTTCACACATTCAATAAAGCAACTGGCAGAGCTATGGCGGAAAATCAAATTCCTGATAATAAATTGAGGGTACAAAAGATGACACAATATGACTCCAGCGTCCAATATGTGAAGTCAACAACTGTTTTCAGAGGGAAAATATTTTGTTTCTCAAATTTATTTCCTGAAGAAAGGGTAAGTTAATAGTATCTTTAAAAGTATAAAGATGGATATAATATATTTTTTAACCAGAATTGTGAGTTGTAATATAAGGGATCGATGCACAGGAAGTTTGAAAGATAGAAGTAGGAGAACTGATAAGAGGAATGTTGTATGCTTTGCTTTAAGAAATATATCTGGAAAGATACACTTGAACTATTCAGTTGGTGAACTTTAGAATTGATGTATTCTTCTTCAAAATTACTTTCAAAAAAGAAAACCTTCTTCATACTACATAGACAAGATATATATAGGTTTTTAGATAGAAAAATGCAACAGCCATATTCTAGCAAAGCCTTGAACTTTATTAGTGTTAGAGATGTGATAGAAAAACCATTCATGTCCTTTCACCTAACAATTTAAGTTTTTAAGATAGTTGGTTTGTGACATAATATTTGAGCCTTTATAACCAAATAGTCTTGAGATTGATCCGTGTTACCCTATTCTTCTAATGGAAAGTTGAATTTTAGCACAAGGCAGATGGGGTTGTGTATTGTCCATTTTTAAGCCCAAAGGCCTTATGTACGAAGGGATATGTTAGAAATGTAATATAGAAATTGTTAGTGATTGTGAGTAACTTTGTAAATAGTATCTTTCAGATTATGTAAATAGGATAGTCATAATTATGCAATTATGGTAATTAGGATAGTAGTGTTGTTTGTATATATTTTGTGTTTATTATTTTTGGCTGTATAATCCGAACCATGTTGTGTAGTTAAGACGTAGATTTCACAAAATATCTTTTATTTCTTCTTCCCTTTACATGGTATCTGGAGCATGATGAAAGGCAATCATAGTGCGTGTCTTCCTAGTGGACCCACTGCCCATCAATGATTTTTTCATTTTTATTTTTTGGAAACCGTATTTCAACTTAGGTTTTTGGTCTCATTGCAGTGTTGTTATTCTGACAGCCTGAAATCTTTTTCCATTGACCCTCTGTTAGTTTTTCGAACATTGTTTGGCACAGGCTAATGACTTTTTCAGCTGGAGACCTCAAGATTTAAAATATCTCCTCAAGTGAAGCCCATCCCCGAAGGTTCCATGTCGAACCACTGTTGCATGCGCCAACACGTGCGCCATTTCTCCTATGCACATCTCCTATTTCGTTGTGCGTGGTAGTGCGTGAGCCACTGTCTTAGGCCATGTCTTGTCCCTTTGTGCTCATCCTGCTATTGTCTACTCGAATCTGCCTTCTTCACCTTGAACCGCCTCTATTAGCACTTTTCTGATTCCTTCCGCCATTTGTCTGGTTCTCTTTTCCACTACCTAGGGTGACCCATGGCTGAATCTGCTTCCTTTGGCAGTCCTGAGGAGGATGCTTGTGAAATTTTTATTGGTTATTTTTCATTTTTCAAAGTTTTTATCATGAAATCCGAACACAATTTGGTGTTCCAAGTCACACATTTCGTAATGATAATACCCATGAATATTTGTCTCAGCCTTTCAAAGATTTAAGGCTTCTCATAGCATTCTTTACCAAACTTCTTGTGCCCATATCTCTCAAGAAAACGGGGTTGCTAAACATAAAAATCACCACCTCTTTGAAATTGTTAGGACACTCTTGCTTCATGGTCACTTTCCCTTTGTTTTTGGGATGATGTTGTTCTTACTGCCTGCTACCTCATTAACCTATGCCCTTCTTTGTCTTAGACTTCCAAATACCTCACGATGTGTTGTTTCCCGAATAGCCTATACATGTTTTACAATCTTGTATATAAAGTTTACTTGTTTTGTCCATTATCCTACTGCGGGTCTTGAGAAGCTCTCGACTCGATCCCTCATGTTTATCTTTCTAGGATACACTCAATGTCAAAAAGGCTAAGATGTTTCTTACCTAGTTTACAATGTTATCTAGTCTTGGCTAATGTTACTTTTTTTAGTCTATTTCCTTCTTCATGTCTCCTTCATCGACTCCATAGTCAGTCTTTGAGGTATTACCCTTACTAGCTATTTCCTTTCCTACTTCTCCTATCTTGGTTAATGTTCCTCCACATTTGTTCTGCCCTATTGTGGAACCCTGCACCACCTTTCATCCATTACAAATCCATCACTGTCGACACAAAGTGAAGTTGACCACTCTTTATTTTATTGACATTCATCTCAAGGATATATTTATTTGATTGTATATGTCCACGACAAAGTCATCACTTGTAATGATCATTGCATCTTTCATATAAAACAATATCTTGGTCATCACTTTCAAACCAAAGATCTTGGCAAGCTTTGATATTTCTAGGGAAAATAGGTATTACAAACCTAGGATGGTATTGTAGTTTCATAGAGAAAATATACTATGGACATTCTTGAAGAAACTAAACCTTTGAATGCAAAGCTGATTAATACTCCGGTGGATTCAAGCACTAATGGGAAGCCACTTTTGGATCTAGGAAGATATATGTTAGTTGGAAAACCTATCTATTTCAAGTTGCTCATCCGGATATCTTTTTTGCAGACAGTGTGGTAAAAGTTGCTCTATTAACTTTGTGCTGAACATTGGGATTTCGTGATTTGTATCTTATAATATGTCAAAAGTACCCCAAGGAAAGGCCTTATCTATGAAGACAAAGGTCACACTTAGAATGTCAAATACTCAGATACTGATTGGGTAGGTTCCCCTACTGATAGAATGTCCACTCTAGATATTGTATATTCATCTGGGATAATTTGATATCTTGGAAAAGTAAGAAGTAAAATGTGGTTGCAAGATGAAATGTCAAAGTAGAGTATTGAGCCATGGCCTCAGTCACGTGTGAACTTATTTGGATAAAATAGCTACTTAGAGATTTCTAATTTGTAGAGGTTACACAAATGACACTAATTTGTATAACTAGGTTGCTTTGCACATTGCCTCCAATCTAGTGTTTCACAAGAGGGCCAAACACATGCAAATATTGTCACTTTATTAGAAGAAAATGTTATCGCGAGACATTATCACTAGCCTTGTCCACTCAAATGATTAACTAGTAAATGTTTTCACCAAGTCCTTGAGAGCTCCTACATATGAAACAAACTTGGTGCATAAGACCTACATTCTTGAGCTTGTGGCGGAGAGTTGGTAATTGTGTAACTATGTAAATGGTATCTTGCTGATAATATGAATAGGGTAGTCAAAATTATGGAATTACAATAATTAGGATAGTAGTATGTCTGTATATATTGTTTTTTGCTATATAATCCAAACCCAACTGTGTAATTGAGACATACACATTTCACTACATGCTCTAGCTTTTTTGTAACAATTTGAAAAACAAATACATCATTTCAACTAAATAAATGAACTCTTAGTTCCTGATATTCAATGTTCCCAAGAAAGTTTATTTTTTCTAAAAGCCTCAAGCATTAGTTGAGGTTACTTGAGGTTGAGTCAAGTAATTAATTATCAGATTGAGTATAATTATATATCAATATTCTTGAGGTGTGAACTCAATTGTTAATTTGGCATTATAGGTGATTTATTAGAAGATTTCTAGACAATTTTGAATAAATTACCAAGATGGTTGATATCCATAGTAGCTATTTCAACCACAGCCTTTTGGTGGACCTTGTTTTCTCAAATTCTTGAATAATCTCTTTTGAGTTTGGTACAATCATTTACTGTTTAAATACTAATTTCTATTTTTTTCCAGTTGAATTAATAGTTACTATATGTTAACATATATCTGCTGTTGCACTAAAAAAATGTACACCTATGTTGTTCATTGATGTTGTTTAATTTTTGTTTTGATCTCTTTTGCCAGAGAGCTGAGATTGTTCAATGGATAAGTCAAGGAGGAGGAGAGGTAGTAAGTCGGCAAACAAAACAGAGTGTCCCTTATATTATCGAGTGTCATGGTGTAACACCCAGGTTGACAGGTGATTCTGAAAGCATACATATTTCCAGTCATTGGATACGATCTTGTTTGGAGGTAGGTTGATGGGTCACAAATGCAAATTTCCTTTTTCAGGTTTATTGTTTTTGGTAATGTTATCTTCTACATTTTCAGGTGTTCAATTGGTTATAGATCTTGATTTTTATATTGAATAAATAGGAACATAGGTTGATGGGGAAACACAAAACCTTTTTTGGCCCAATTGTTCCAAGTTGTTATCTCATAAGTGCAATTAGTAGGGAGAAAATAATGATGGAAAGTGACGAAAGTGGTTCAATAATACATGGTTGCAAGAACTTAATATATAGATCATACATGATCCGTATTTTCTATTCTTTTTGTTAAAGAAGTATGTTATAAAACCATTAACGTGGTTTTCACTTAACAACTTAAGCTTTTGAATTGAATTAGTTGTTTTACATAGTATTACAGCATCTGTGACCAAGTGGTCACGAGTTTGATCTTCACCGCTCCCATTCTATTAATCAATAATTACTGTTGTGGAGTTTCTTAGTACAGGTAGGTGGGCTTGTGCATTGTCCACCCTTCAAGCCCAATGGGCTCTTATGTGAGGAGGCGTGTTAGAGAAGTATGTTATAAAACCATTAATGTGTCCTTTATCTAATAGCTTAAGCTTTTAGATTGAAATGATTCTTTATACTTTCTACTTTTTTGAATGTAAAAGTTAAAATTCTAGTTGCACCTTGATGAAATTGGATCAGAATAGGATGGAAATTGGGGATATAAAAAGAGACTTTTATTGAATATTCAAACTAAATGCCTAACGGTAGCGGCACCAAGTTTGATTACAAAGAAAAGTACTGAATAGAAATAACAAGAAGCAAAATCTTAAGGGTTGTTTAAGAGACCCCACTTTAAGAATCCTAATGATCTTCGGGATGCTCCTTTGATCATAATAGAGATAGTAAACAAGGTGTAGGACCCAACAGCTCTTATCTAGGAAAGAAGGAATGAAAATTTGAATTTGAGATGAAAATTTGAATTTGAGATGAAAATTTGGAGGTTTACTTTGACGGCTCTTGAATGAACTTCATGATCCTCTATCAAATTCCTTGCTTTCTTCTTCTTGTCTTTCCAACTAGTACATTTGTTTGTATGATCATTGTTGGGCCAAGATATGCTTAGGAAAATGTGGGAGCAAAAATATAAGGAGCAAGTATCATTTAGAGAGCAAATTTATCCAAGCTGCGCAAGCGTACGCATCAAGTAATATAGGGTCTGTTACGAGCCCCAGATTATCATTCTCAGGGAATAATTGTAAAAGTTGTGTTTAAAAGAAGTGTAAATAAGAAAAGGAAATAACAGAGAGCAAACTGAAAGTAAAGAGCAATTCGCTTCAAGGAGCCAATTTGTTCTCAAATCAAGTTTAGCCAACAAGCATTTGTCACTAGCTGGTTGAATGTAGTCAAATAATATGAGTTACTAAGAGCTGAGTTTCTCCCTTAAGTTTTATTGAACCTTGCCTTGAAGGAATTTGGGAAACATGGGAGTTGAGAGCAACAGAACAGAGAGTGAAAGAAATCAAGAGCAACAGTTGGAAACCAATAATAGTGAGAACACTAACAGAAACAGAGAGCAAAAGAGAAATGATGGTTGACAAATTCTGTTGAGATATATAAAACCATTAATGTAGCCTCTCCCAACAGCTTAAGCTTTTGGGTTGAATTAGTTCTTTACATGGTATCAGAGACTCGGTGTACCGGGTTCAATCCTCACCGTTCTCCACTTTCTTTCTAGTGGATTTTCTTTCTTCACACAGGTAGGTGGGCCTGTGCATCGTCCACCCTTCAAGCCCAGTGGCTCTCGTGTGAGGGGGCGTGTTGAGATATATAAAACCATTAAAGTAGCCTCTCCCAACAGCTTAAGCTTTTGGGTTGAATTGGTTCTTTACAAATTCTTAGCTTCGTCAAACAAGTAAGAACAATAAAGAAATAAAATAATGTAGAATCAAGATAAAAAAATCGTAGGCTCGGGTTGGTATTTTCATCCTCTTGGTCGTTCCTACAACTTCATCCGTTTTCAGAAACAAAATATGCTTCCAGCAACTTTTAAGGCTTTGGAGACAGATTTTTCTATCACCAAGTTTTAACACCCAAGCAGTCTGGAGCAAAGGCCTTTTACACCAAACTACTTTAAGAGTCCTATTAGTTAAAATTCAAGGAAGATTATGTTTGCCTCCTTCGAAGAAGTATGGCTGAAAGGATCACTAGCAAAAGCGATTTACACATAACAGTGCTTCTCCTTCTCAATATTCCTTTAGCTTAGAGCAAAATACCCTAAAACTTCTAATGTTGCTCCACACTGCCTTGTGAGGGATTCATCGACCAGGTGGTCTCAGGATGAGGTTGCAAACCAAGAGGTTTCATAATATTAAAATATTAAACCAAGAAACAACACACATTTCATTAAAGAAAAACATTTACATTACAAGTCCAACCTAAGACAAAGTGGGGCACTTCTACTTCACCCTTGCCAACTAAAAATACTCAGCTCATACGAAGGAGTATAATAAAAACCTAACTACAAAAAGAAAATAAAAATAGAAAGAAGTCTTAAGGAGGACGATGAGTCCTCTCTAAGAGTGTCAAAAAGCTCCTTTAGGTTGTGATTTCTTTAGTATTTATAGGTGAGAGGTCCTCCTTGAGTCAATCATGTCCCTTGATTTAATCAACGGTTCAGATTTCGTCAGTTGCTCCCTAATCAAGGACGTGCTCCTGTCCAAGTCAGCCCTAAATTCCTTCTTCTTTTGCTGAGTTTCTGATGATGTGATGTTGCAAAACATTGTGCCATTCCCCTCTCTGCTCTGCTGACGTGTCCACCAACCATAGGTTGCTTTTTCAAGAAAAGGACGCTGGTACAACTACTTTTTCTACTTTCTTGTCTCCCTTCTCCCTCTCTTCTTTCTTTCTCCCCAAGTTTGCTTCTTTTCTGAATTGGCCCTCTTCTAAATGATTATTGAGCCTCCTAAAAATGCAAAATAGTCTAGTAAGCCCGAAAGTAATAAAAATAAACCATTTTACACTGAGTTGCTCCCTAATTTCCATAAGTTCAAATTGCTCCAGTGCAAATAACAATTAATCGCTCTTGAACGCAAACTTAGTTCTTGTTAGAAATAATATAATATTATATAGAATTGTATTATTTATTCTAGCAGGTTATTTGGGCTTGGCCCAATTGACGAAATTAACATCAAAAAGTCGGGAATTCAACAATACACAAGATAGCTCTCCAATTTTGGGTGCTATCAATCATCGACAGTAGGTGTATATATGCCCTCTTTTAACTTTCCTTTTGCCATTGTGAGTATTTAATTTTTGCCTAACTCATCATGCTCTTGATGCTTATTGGCTAATGGTGAGTAATCTTGGATCTTATCTCAAGTTGCTACTATATGTCTTATCATGGTAAATCATGAATGTAGTCATGATTCGTGATAATTGCATTTCTGTTGTGAGCTGAATTCATGAATGTAGTCAAGTTGAATTATCTTTTTTCTCTTAATTTGGTGCTGTATATCTTTGTTCTTCGTGATGATTGATAAGTAACTATTCCAAAAGCTTAAGCTTTTAGGAGATGGCTGAGCAACTATTGTCATGAATGACTATGATAATGGTAAATCATTAATGTAGCCATGTTTATACAATAATATTTATTGTAATGATAATAATAATAATAATGTAGTCATGATGAAATTTCATTTCTGTTGTGAACTGGATTCTTTGAGAATTTATGTTTGTTTATGTACTAATATTGTGATTATGATGTTTTATTGTTTTTTTTTCAAGGCTGGGTCGTTGCTGGAAGTTGACAGTCATATTCTTTATTCTCCACTTCCCTGCCGTGTTCCCTTGCCTGGGTTTGAAAGCTTCCGGTTTTGTGTTTCACAATATGAGGAGAAAGATAGAATTCTACTTAGGAACCTGTGTTTTGTTCTGGGAGCTAAATTTGTGGAGAAGTTGACTAAGAAGGTCACCCATTTAGTATGTAAATTCACCAATGGGCCCAAGTACAAGGCTGCTTGTAAGTGGGGGATCCGGTCAGTTACATCTGAATGGATCTTTGAATGTGTCAAACAGGTAATACATTTATAGTGGCTGTGTACAGGGCAGTGAGAGCTTTAATCAATGCTTGTGCATAAACATTTTGTTATGCATGTATTTTCTATGTTACGTACTTTTGATTGGGAAAAAAGTACTTATCAATATGCAATTCTTTTTTTCAGAATGGAGTTGTTGCCATTGATCGATTTTTACCAAAAGAGGTCACTGCTCAAGACCAAGAGGCAGGAATTTGCACTGTGAGTCAAAATCCTACCCAGGCTGTTCGAATGATAAGTGACATGCCCTCCCAGCTTCCAAGTCAAACACAAAATCTGAGAAACATGGCAAATAAAAACATAGGTAGTGGAGTTGACAATCATGGGACTGATTCTAAAATAACAAGTATTTACAGCAAAAAGGCGAGGCCCGTGGAAGAACCTGGTCTACATGAAAAGGTGCCTTCTGCCGTAAATTCAGGTATTCATGTCCATGACATGAACTTTTCTGAAAACAATATGCTTAAAGATGCTGGGGAAGTTTCTCATGTTGTTCCTGATGTTGCTGCTGCAATTGAGGACTTGTTAGAGCAGACAAGCAAGGTAAAAGAGCTGATTTTTTGTTTACACACACGCATATATATATATATATATATATATAAAAGAGCTGATTTTTTGTTTACACACACGCATATATATATATATATATATATATATATATATATATATATATATTGTTTTACTCTGCTATGTTCGAAGTATTCCTTCTTAACCTGCTCTTTTTCTTCTTCCCTCAAAGATGCATGATCAGAGGTCGCCTAGGAGGACAGGGTGTGAGGGAACTGTATCCTTTAAGTTTGAACAATTTCATGGAGATTGTGTTTTGTTTTATGAGTCTTTAATAAATTTTGTAAGTAGTAGTCATCCTTGATGATAGAATAGATTTACTCATCTGATTGTTCAGCCCTTGGTGAAGACAATTCAAATCCTCATACTGTCTTCGGATTATCTAAAAACTGGTTAAACAGGTAAGCTCTCTATAGTTCCCTGTTTAAATTCTATCATGCTGTTGTCATCTTGCCATATATTCTTCTCTTCCTTTGTCGAAATTATACAGGGTTTTATATCAATGGCCTTGAACACACATATATATCAGCTTATTAGCGGTTTAGTTCAGTATTTTATAGAAGTCTAAGGTGTTAATGACAACATTTTCAAATTTTTTTTTTTTTATTTTTCAATTTTTAGTTTAGGAACAGAAATAGTTAGAAATTGCATTTGGTAAAACCAATTTCCCGTAGCCCAGGAGCAAAAATTGAAAAAAAAAAAAAAACTTTTTTTGTTTTTTCATTCCTGGACACATTATTTATTAAATACACATATAGTAGATTTTGTTATCACGATTTGAAAGTTGAAACAAATGAAACTCTATTTATTAAAATACACATCATAGAATATGTGTTATCAAATATATTTTTCTATTCAGAAACTCTCACATAAATAAAAAATAAAATTATTTCTCTCGAGAATTAAAGGATCAGAATGATTATCATGTATACCGGAAGTGTGGTGGCTGCAGAACTTTTTTCCTTCATCAAATTCTTATGTTTACAATAACCATTATCCAAATATAAATTAATTGGCTTAATAATTATCCAATTACTCATTTCAATAAGCCAAATTAGTCGAGGTAGGCATATTCATTTTCTTCAGTTTGGCTCAAAAAAATCTTATCCTTTATTATGAGCCAGGACTGAGTTGAGCCCATGTATCTTATACCTGCATGTCATAACATATTTTAGCTTGTTGTTGAGCTTGACTTGAATACATTTTGAAACCATTTGAACCTGTTCCCGTTAAATTAATCTGATTTAATTCATAACCAGCCCCAAAGAAATCTCACCAATGTATTGATTTTATTTTTAGTTGTAAATCTAGAAAAGAATGGTTTCTAAATTTACTCCTCTTACAATTATTCCTATAGCCTATCTGAATATGCAATTTACCCCTTAAAAGTTAAAAGTCATAAATCATATTTCTCTTAAAATTATCGACAATATAATTTAATAGATGATGGGGGTAAGTTGCACGTATTGGAAATTTAATGGGGGTAAATCGCTATATTTATGTTACCAATTTGAATAGTACTATGACAGATGTCTATCGGATGAATTGCATCAACCAAAACCTTGCATAAACTGTAGATGGAATAAAGATGAATTGGGTTGCCAATGAGCTTGTAGCTCAATTGGCACAATCCCGAATCTTTTAAGACTTGGGCATGATAGAATTAATGGTAATGACATGTCTAACATCCCCGTCTCAAGCCGGTTCAATTAACATACATATGATATAAACAGAAACAGCGGAAGATTTAACTTACAAAAGTACGAGCTAACTTTTTCTTTTTCTACTTTAATTCTTACTCGACGTAAACGAAAATCGGACAGAGTTTCCTCTATAAATCGGACAACTGGGGATTTTCCAATCCCACTCAAAAGCATTTCTTGATAAACAGTTTATACAGCACATCAATCCAGAAGTACCAGTCATGCAGATATAATCAGATACCCATCCATGAGCACATGCATAACTTGGCTCAGTGCCTCTAATCTAACAGCATGCAATCCAATACATAAACATAACTGAATATTACATCATCATATAACGTGCCTGAATACTCAAATGTACATGCATCAACTGACAGACATGTACAAAACATATATAGGCCATATACAAAATAAAGGATCTAACATCATGATCCACAAAATACTGAAATACTAAATGAAAGCACTATACTCCAAAATAGAAGTAGCCTACAGCTACTCAAAATCCAATACGTCCAAAATCCTCAGCCACGGGCGCGTCCCTGACTAGAGAGGTCTCACCGGAGATCTGGGCACCTGAAAATATGGCCCCAACGAGGGGTGAGATTACAAATCTCAATAAGCTCCAGGTTTATAGAGAATTCTTCATACCCCTGGCTCACTCCTGCATGAAAGTCAGATACAGAGTATACAAATACAACATATAGCAGATATCATAACAGAACAGAGCATATATCCATATCATATCGGAGGCGTGCGCCGTCATTCCCAAGGGAGGACCCCAAGCGGAAATCAACGCACGTGTTCCCAAGGGAGGACCCCAAGCGGAACCAGAACATGTCAGAGGTGTACATCGTCAATCTCAGGGAAGCCCCAAGAAGACATCAGTGTACCATATATGAATACAGAAGTCATATCAGAGCAAGTCATATCATGTTATCAAATAACTCTATATGAATGCATCTATACAAAGTATCATATCAACAGTCATACATTCCAACCATAGTCCACTAACTATGGTGGAGCACTCGAGCAGGAAAAGACTCCTTAAACATAGAGCTTACCTCTTGAAGCTTTATCAATCTGCTTACTTGTGACACAAGTTACTTATATATCTTCAAGAGATTACGATCATTTTCAGTCCCTAGGTACACCTAGAGCAAGAATCCACAAATACAAATCAATAAAATGCTATCATGCCTAGATTTCTCATAAGGAATACATTTTATCGCTTCTTTTCGTTTCCTTCCGTTTTTGCCAATGCTATGCCAATACACAAGTCTAGACCACTTTATAACCGTTAGATGTTCTTTAATTTAATCTAGCATTCCATTAAGGATTTTCAACATAAATCATGCCATTTTACTTCAAAAAAACCGTGGACATACCTTTAGGAAAATCAAGGTATTTTTCAACCATTTTTCAAGCCAATTAACTTCTTAACTCATCAATTTTATTCATTGAATTACAACTCATTTTATTAAAATAAAATGTAACAAAATGTACCCTTAAATCATCCTCTAAGTCGAAGTCCAATAGGAAAAACAAAGGTTTTCTCTTCTTTTTCATTTCATATTCTTCACTCATTTTAACAACTTACACATACACATGTATCTATTCATCAAGCCTCAATTAATTTTGCAATGACAAGTTCCTCCAAAGCCCCCAAGGCCAAACATAAGGACATATTTCATATAATTTTTTCCCCTTTGGCATTCTCACCAATTTATGAAATTTCCACTTAATTCCTACACCTTAAACCCTCATAATACATCATATAAAATCTTGCCCAATGACCCCTATACAACCCATCATGGCCGAACCTAGGGGAGTACAAACCAAGAGAATTTTTCTTCATTTAACACACGTGGATGTTTATCTTTTACCTATGACTTCCTATACAAAACAAACCATCATCACTTTCAAGTTCTATACTACTTTATTTCCCACCCATCCATGCTCATAACTTTCAAAACATTATTCATAATAATAAAACCATAGGATTAGAGTTTTGTTACCTCCAATGAACTACCCAAAGCCTAGAAGGCATTCACCAAGCAAAGCTCCATCCAAAGATCCATTTTTTCTTCTTGATGAATAGTAGCTCGAAAATGGGGGGAGGAAGAACACTTCACACACTCAATTATAGCTCAAATTGATCGGTGGAATGGATTCATTGGACTTTTTCCTATGATTTCCATGTGTGGATCAAAGGATTTGGATGAGTATTTAGGGAGAAATCAAGAAAACAAGAATCAAAACTCTAACCCCCTTCTTCCCATGTGCAGCTCGGTTTTTGGAGAAAAGAAGAGAGAGAAACTGATGTGAATAGTGGTTGTTTAAGTGACTTGGGGTTTTTAAGCACACGTGGCTTTTTAGCCGATTGTTTTTCTATCGCGTATTTTAACTTAAATTGACCCGGAACTAACTTAAAGCTACGAACATATTTTTATTTTTCTAAAATCATTTACATTAATTTTTTATTTGTTACAAAACAATATTCATAATTCACAGTATGGTTTCTGCACCGTTTTTGACGAAATGCACTGTGAATCACTAACTGTACTTCGCTTACTTCTGAACTTAAAACTTATAAACTTATTATTTTCTTGGGCCTATATTGACTTGCTTGGCATATATTGGACTTTCTTATTCTTATTTCATCATTTATTTGCTTCTGGACTCTACCGGTTGCTTAAACAGCAGTACAAAATACCCGATAGAAACACTATTCACGAGATTTTCACAGAAAGTGCCAGACTATACAATTTTTCGTTCTGAACTCATATATGGAGTCAGAATTGTCAAATTATGTCTCTAAAATCATTTTACTCGTGTTTGCTCTACCGGTTAATTCACAAGACTGCAAATTCTCCGGCAGAACGCACTGTTCACAACCTAGTCATGATTACAGTCAAAATACTCGAATTCACTCACTGAATCTAATTATGGAATTTAAATCCTTAATTTAAATCTCTAATTAAGATTTACCATATAGGGTCATTATAACATGTTCCAGTTTGTAGGCGGCATAATGCCTTTACCCTTGATATGTGTGTTATGTGTGGTGCCTGCTCTCAGAATTTGCTCTTCGTCTGATCTTGCGGAGCCCTGTGACTGTTTTTCTTTGGAATTTTTTGTTCAGCTTTTTTGACAAATGTCCGGTGTGCCCTAGGTCCTTCGACCAATTTTGTATGATTGGCCTTTAATGATTTTGGTAGGAGTAAAGAGGCTGAATCATTGTGGTATTTTGCAATACTTTTTGGTGCATTTGGTTGGAGCATAACTCTGAAATTTTTAAGGAGGTTTCTTTAGCACAATTGATTTGGGATAAGATCTGACTTTTGGCTTCTATTTGGTATAAAGCACATAATTTTTTTAATGGGATTTCCTTTAGATATGACGAGAGATTGGACAGCTTTACTATATTAATGTTTTCTCTTTTCTCTTTTGTCTTGTATTTTACACTTACGTTGAAGAGGATTCTGTATCATCCAAACTTTTTGTAATTTCTTCTCTCCGTCCTAATAATTTTTTGTTTTAAAAAAATGTTGATATCTCAGGTCCTATCCGCCACCAAACTCCCTTTCCCCCTCTCCTACCCAGGTTCTTGCACCTTAAATATATCTCCTTAAAAGAAATTGGGAGAGGGGTTTCAAATTTTTCCTAATCTTTTTCAGCTTCAGCCCCAAAATTCAGGTGTCTGCTAGATGGGTATTTAACTTGATCAATGAGATTGAAAATGATATCCATTCCAAGCTAATGACCTGAGAACAATGTGAATTATACCAGAAGCATCAAGCATATCATTTTTCACCTTTCTTTAAATCAGTACTGAGCTTATACGTTTTTAGAAGTGGCAGAAAAGACAATAATGGTGAGGCTTCTCAAGACGGAAGAGCAGGAATCTATGATGGTTTTAGTGAAACACAAACAGAATCTCAGGTTTTATCTTTGTGCAACTCCTTTTACTTAAAGTTTTCCAATTACTTCATCTTGATTGTGTCTTCTATTTTATTTAACATTATTGTCAGATATCTATCTGAAACTGGAACAAGAATTTGTTACCTTCTGCATAGACTGTTGACTAATGAGAAATCATTAGTATTCTGGGTGTTAACGATATCCTGATTGCAAGTTCTGTATATTTCTCATGCAGGTTGTTAGTTATGAAGAAGATTTATCAGGAAGGCAAATGCTTATAGATAGAGTCCGAACTCGAAGTAGCATGCACTGAAATAGGAGGACACCCCCCTTAGGAAAGATTTCAGTATAGCATTTTCCTCATTTGATGGTCTAATGGTATATCTGAGCTTACAAGAAGCTAATACACAAGAATCTGTCAGGTCCTTCATGATTAGCATATAAATTACTCTCCATTAAACCCTAACCAGCGATAGTAGGGATGAGGACAATTCTTGTATACAAGCTTACCTTTGCATATTTGTAAAATTGCTATTACCCGAATTCGAACTCACGACCTTTCAGTCACAAAGGAAGGACTTTACTACTGCTTCAGGCTCACCCTCTTCATGATTAGCGTATGATTAAAAAAAAAACTCAACCTTGGCCAGCTAATGGAGGAAACAAGCAGTAGGTTAGTAGAGAATATCAATATCAATTTGTTGTACCTTCATGTTTGAACATGTTTATGATTTTGGTTTTGAGAAGCAGCATCCCTAATTCGCTGGAATTATTGGAAAATCATAGACAAAATGGCAGGGCTGTATGTTGTAATCAATTCTTTGTAAGTAACAAATAGAAACAAGTGACATAGCCAAGTAATGGGAAAAAGGGGTTATTGAGTCACGCCTGCATAGTCCCAGTCTACCAGATTGTCAAGTAACTTAAGAGTAGCTCTCTTTATTATTACTATTTAGTGGGAAGGGGCGGAAGAAAGGGGGTTGCCATGTGATAAGTTGTCTGAGTGGGCAATTTCTGTTGGTATGACTGTTCTGCTATGTAGAATGCTTTTCCCAAATCTGAAATCACACGTAACATTACTGGTGAGACATTCAATGCCTTCTCATCAAGAATTAGTCTTCTGGACTGTTGATTTGGGCTGCTTTTATTGACATTAAGGGTGTCAAGGATCAATTTATCTCTGGATGCAATGTTAGAAAATAAATAAATCTCAAATGCTTCAGCGTTTAGGTGGAAGTCCAACAATGGGTTTTGTCTCTCGGAGAGGAAGTTGAGATTGGTTAGATTTGTTTCTTTAACTTCCACTGATAGCTTTCTTTTATGGGTGAATTTAAATCTTTTCTCTTCATCAGTCTTTACATGGTTGTGCTACAATTCATCCTTGCTTTCCCTGGTAAATGATATTAATCTGCTCGTTCAATCTGACCGGGGGAAGTAGCCTGGAACTATACATTAAGTGAGGAAAATCTTGTACAAATATTGCAAAACATGGTACTTCTCTGGACTTGGGTATTCCAGTTTCCCGTTTGTTGTCATCATTTCTTAACGTATCCTTGCTGTTGCTAGTGTAACGGGTGCAGTTTACCCCGTTATATATGAGGAGATTAACTTAAAATGTAACAAATTTGAGATATTATTAATCCTTGGTCCAATTGCATAACTCATGTGATTAGGTATATACGAGACATGATTAATTTGGACCGATATAAAAATGAAAAATCTTACATTCAATTTCATTGATCCACTTGCATATAACATTCAATTTCAAAATATTCATCTCCTAAACTTGGATTCTTTTGACTGTAAGATTTAGAACTTTTACTTCCTATCACAGCCGTTGATGAATAGAAATCAATGATTGTCATTATTTGTTTATTAAATTAAAAAAAATCTTAGTTTCTTCATAAAGAGAAAAGTTAATTGTTTTAAGGGCAAATCATTTTTGCATCTGTAATAGAAATTATTTTTCTGTCACATACATAAAATAAAAAAAAAATTAATATGATTTAGGACCATCATGTTCTTTTCATTAAAAAATTGACACCTGGACCAAAAATTTTATTTTCTTTCTTTTCTCCTCTTTCCTCAATCTTTTCTTTCTTTCTTTCACTTCCGTCCACAGAAAAAAAAAATGTGCCGGGAGCACATAAAAATCACTCTAAAATAAGAATGGGCTCTATGCCGTGTAGCTCTTTTCTTTATGATTTTTCTCCCTTAAGTATTTGTCTCTGTGACGGAAATAATATGCAGAAATGATTTTCTGTTGTTTTAATTATATAAAATAGCAATCAGATTTAAGATGTTGCCGTGATGACCTGGACCAATCATATTAGAAAAAATAAATGGATAATGAGAAGGGGAAAAAAAAGGTAAAGGAATACATAAACATCAAATCAAGAAGGAGCATAACGGCAAATGTCCATTGAACAGACCAGACATGTAGCCTCCACCACCGAAATTATCATTAGACGCAATCCCATATCACCCGCCATGTTCCAACCACAACATTTTCATTCATCCAAACAACACAGCATAATAACATCTCAAACAAAAATAAAACAAAAATAAAATAAAAACATTTTTATTTTTTAGGAGAATCGTTCGTTCTTGAACTCCGATGGTAGCATGTATCGACATGGCATTCTGTCCCCTTCGTATCTCTGCTTCTTCGAGCCTCCTCCGTCGTTGGCCAATGCAAGAATCTTCGGTTTCGGTTTCGGTTTGGGTTTGGGCTTCGAATTTCAGAGGAAGGGAAGAAGACTTCGGAGACACCTCAAGTTCGTCATCAGCGCCCAACTTTCCAAGTCATTTTCTTTGAACTTCGGACTCGACTCTCGGGTATGTCTCTATTACTTCATCTAACTTCTTCTTTCTCAACTCCTCTTTATGTTACTTTCAGAATTGCAAGCTTTTTCAGTTTCTCTTTCTCTATATACACTGTTCCTGGACACTCAGTGGCGTAGGTTTTATTATAAGAAATCGTTGGCTGGTTTGTGTGATCATGTTTTGATATTTAAGTTTTGAAAAACCACAGTTCATGTGGATACGAAGTTTTTATGTGGGGAAGTCCGTTTTTACTCAAGATTGGTTCTCATGTAATCAAAAGGAACAAATTTCAGTACTTTTCTTTACAGCTAGTAAAATTAGAAACACATGACTCACCCAATTGCATTTTTTTCCATTCACTTTTTGATGTTAAATGCATGTATTTCTAATTTTAGTGTGGGAGTATGTACTACTAAAGAGTGTCCGGTTGATCACTTCATCTGTTACTCAAATTTGTGTTGTGCATGTTGAACCGTTTGCCTCAAAATGAGTGAAAATTATTTTTTGTTTCTTCTTCTGAAAAAAATAAAAATAAAATTCTCTAGACTTGCTGTTGGTGAACTCTTCACTCACTCACAGATGTATGGTTTCTTAAGCAAGGATCCACATAAGGAAATCATTTGTCCTATTCTCTGAATGTTGCACAAGCCTAAATTGTTCATCTCTGTGCATTTTGGTTGCTTTCTCCATTCTTTTAATTCCTTCTTCTTGCAATGTGAACTTGACAAATTCTGATGCATGCTATTGATGAGCCATTTGTTTCATTCTCTTAGTTACTTTGCTTAAGAACAAGTGGGCATTTCTGAGTAAATCTAAACCCCAGAATATCAAATTAAACTATATTGAACTTCTTTTGTTAGTTTTGTGTGTGCGCTTAAGCATACTGTTGTTGGTGTCTTTGTCGTCTTCTTTTTTTTTTTGTATGCTTTGATGAATTAACTCCTGAAATTCATGTCATGTACTGACACTTAGCTTTCAAATTTGTTTTTGATACTTTTCTTTTTAGAATTTGAATACCTTCCAATCCTATGAGCCATCACAGTTGTCTTGGATGGGTCCAGTTCCGGGTGATATTGCTGAAGTTGAGGCATATTGTAGGATCTTTAGGAATTCTGAAAGGCTTCATTCTGCATTAATGGATGCGTTATGTAACCCATTGACTGGTGAATGTAATGTGTCATATGAGGTTCCATCAGATGAGAAACCTCAACTAGAAGATAAAATAGTTTCGGTCCTCGGATGCATGGTTTCCCTTGTGAACAAAGGCAGGGAAGATGTTCTTTCTGGAAGATCCTCAATTATGAATCCCTTTCCTGATGCAGAGGTTAGCACAATGGAGGATAACCTCCCCCCACTTGCCGTTTTTAGGAGTGAGATGAAAAGGTGTTCTGAGAGCCTGCATGTTGCTCTTGAGAACTATTTAATACCTGATGATGATCGAAGCTTAAATGTATGGAGGAAACTTCAGAGGCTGAAGAATGTCTGCTATGATACTGGTTTTCCTCGTGGGGAGGGTTATCCTTGTCATACACTATTTGCAAATTGGAGTCCTGTATATTTATCTACTTCTAAAGAGGACACAGAATCCAAAGACTTGGAGGCAGCTTTTTGGACAGGTGGTCAGGTAACAGAAGAAGGCCTAAAGTGGTTACTGGATAGAGGATATAAAACGATTATAGATCTCAGAGCAGAGAGTGTAAAAGATAACTTCTATCAAGCAGCTGTGCATGATGCTATTTCATCTGGAAAAATTGATTTGGTAAAAATCCCAGTTGAAGTTAGGACTGCACCTACAATGGAACAGGTGGTGAGGTTTGCATCTTATGTTTCAGATTGTAGCAAAAGGCCTATCTATGTTCATAGCAAGGAAGGAGTTTGGAGAAAATCTGCCATGGTCTCCCGATGGAGGCAATACATGACTCGTTCTACATCACAGATTGTTTCTAATCCACCAGTTACTCCCTATGACATGTTATCACCTTATACCAATGGATCTGGGACACTGCACGACTCTTCAATGACTGCAGAGAGATCCTTCCTGGAAAAGGATATCAGTTCACTGCAAGAGGGTTTGAATAAAACACATAATTCTGTTGAAACATTTGACAGAAGCACCTCTCAAAAGAAGTATAATGAAAAATCACAAGGTAATGCGGCCTTAAATGCAATTACTCCTGATAATAGGAAATTATCAGAGGCCACTGCTGCTAATGAGGAAGGATCTTTTCCAAGTTTCTTAAGCAAAATTAACCCTTTAAAAGCTCAAGTTCCTCCTAGTGATATTTTTTCCAAAACAGAGATGTCCAGATTTTTGGGAAGGAGGAAGATCTCACCACCCTCTTATTTCAATTATCAGATTAAAAGGTTGGAATGCTTACCACAATCAAGGAACATGCATATTGAAAGACTACATGAGGGTATGATTGTCAGCAGTGGTGATAATCCTGTACCTAAAATTGTGGGTCCAGAAAGTTCAAATGGGTCAGCTCATGTGGATTATCCATATGGAGAGCCCCAGATTAAAGTTGGTGGCAGTTGGAAGTTAGTGAACGGGAGTACTTCTAGTCCTGTTAGCAGAACAGTAAATGGATTTAGTGAAGGAGAGATGCATTACACGGCTAATGCCATTGTCTCCAACATCGTGAACAAAGACTTTGATAATGTCACAACTAACTCTCAAAGGGTTCAAGATGATGAGGTTAAGGCTGGGCCAGCCTTGGGTAATGAAGACCTGGGATCCATCGAAGGAGATATGTGTGCATCTTCAACAGGAGTTGTAAGGGTGCAATCAAGAAAGAAAGCAGAGATGTTCCTAGTTCGAACAGATGGATTTTCTTGTACCAGAGAAAAGGTGACTGAATCTTCTTTGGCTTTTACTCACCCTAGCACCCAGCAACAGATGCTTATGTGGAAGTCGACGCCAAAGAATGTGTTATTGTTGAAAAAGCTGGGGGAAGAACTAATGGAAGAAGCAAAAATGGTAATGATTTTCTTAGACCCTAAAAAGCATGAAAATGGTTCAAAGCAATGGTCGTCTTTGGCATTTCAATGGTCTAGAATCAGAGTTTTTGAAATTGATGTTCAGGAACATTTTTTTGCAAGAGATTTAGGCATTTAGCATTGAACATGGAAAACATTGACATTGCTTTCAATCAACTATGCGCGTAATTGTATCTTTAATCAACATTATATAATCAGCCCCTTATTAATCTGAAGAACAGTAGCTGTTGGGCTGTAGTTAAGCTGAGCTTTTAGTGGAGGCCCAGGCTTGGCTTGTCTCATATAGTAACTAAATCAAACTTGAGATGGTCATAAAACCTATTTAATCAACAAGCCTAGCTTGAGAATTACTCCTATATTATAATTATATATATTATATAGTTTTATTATCTTAGATACCTTACTCTCTCAAAGTCATGAAGCCTAGTGTAGGAGGTTTGCCCTTTTTATTTAGTTTTATTATTTTATGTATGTAATATTTTTCTATTATATAAATATATTTCATATTTCTTACAATTATATAATTATGTAACAGATATGTACGGAAGTTTTGTATGGGTTCTCGTTAAAAGCTTGTATTATATTGAATTTCATTTAAGGTTTGGGCTCATTTAAGGTCGAGTTCGTTTATATGTGCTCATTATGGTAACCAATTATATATGATTGACAGGTTTAATCACTGGAGCTTCAAGTATTTTGAAGTTCTTCATGAAAGAACTATTAAAGATAATTTTAACTTGAAAGCTATATCAATTTGTTTGTCCCTTTCTTGTGTTCAATTTGTAATGACTTTTCAAATATGGAAATTGGAGAACATGAAATTTAGGAATCAAATCTGTTAGGGAACATGAAATTGGGGTAGTTTTGAGGTTTGAATGGTATTCCAATTTTATTTGGTCATTTTTAAATTCTTATGGAAATTATGAGTATTTATTATGAACTTTTGCAAATAAACATCCTTTCTCAATACAGTTTCTATATCTAATCTGCAGGTTGCTTCTTTTCTGTATCACCAAGAGAAAATGAATGTTCTTGTGGAACCTGATGTTCATGATATATTTGCTAGAATTCCAGGCTTTGGGTTTGTTCAGACCTTCTATAGTCATGATACCAGGTAGGGGAGTTTGTAATGTCAATTCACTTCAGAGCATTTTTTCCTTATATAGCTGTGCTTTCATTGAATGTTAGCTCAACATATTAAATGCCTTTGATTCAGTGATCTACATGAGAAAGTGGATTTTGTGGCATGCTTGGGTGGAGATGGTGTTATACTGCATGCGTCAAATTTATTCAGAGATGCCGTTCCCCCTATTGTGTCATTTAATCTTGGCTCCCTTGGTTTTCTGACTTCTCATAGTGTAAGCTTTTCAAATCCATAATTTATATTGCCATAGAATATTATAGGTAGCTTCTTACTCATATATTTGACTTCCATTCTGTTCTCTGTATGTAGTTTGAAGATTATAAGCATGACTTACGACAAGTCATCCATGGAAATAATACACGAGATGGTGTATACATTACTCTCAGAATGCGTCTCCGATGTGAAATTTTTCGTAAGGGTAAAGCTATGCCAGGGAAAGTATTTGATATCCTCAACGAGGTGGTTGTTGATCGGGGTTCTAATCCATACCTTTCAAAGATTGAATGTTATGAACATGATCGGCTCATAACCAAAGTGAGTTTTATTGGGTCTTGATTATTTGTGCTCTAAATTTCCTCACATATTTTTTGTTCTATGATGAAAACAGTCAATATTCAAAATTTCATATGTCAATACACCTTTATGAAGCAGTGGCATACCTTCTATATGACGAATGTCATGTCTTTCAGGTACAAGGTGATGGAGTCATTGTGGCCACCCCTACAGGAAGCACTGCCTATTCTACAGCTGCTGGAGGTTCCATGGTAAGTTAATGTGCCAGTGTTTTACTAGTAATGGAATTAATTAGATGTATTGGCCTGATATTCTTGCCTTGAAATACTTTGATGACAATTATTATAATCTTCAGCCATTATTCTGTTCTCTCTGCGCAAGAATGGTAGACATTGAATATTGTGTTGATGTGTCTTGCATGTTTTATGGCATTGCATTATAGGTGGAAACTAAATATGATTGGATGAGTATCTTTATAATGTTCCAAAGAGGCTGAAACTAGTGATAGTAATGATATTGTTTAAGTTGTAATCCTCTTTTTCCTACATTGCAAGTGTTAGGAGACTAGTCGGAATGAGCTGCAGCTTTCTATACCTGAATATAGTGTTGTAATTTTTATTTTCTTCTCTTTCCTTTTTCTCTTTTGTGAAATAAATACTTAAATAGAGTTTCCTCTCTTTCTTTGCTTCCCCAAGAATAGGCTCCGTGTCATCAGTACCTACATTTACCTGATCCCTTAAAGGAAAAATACTCTTTTTTATGCTTCCCATTGTAGCTTTGCTTCTATCATATGTGAACTAGAAATAGTGAACATATGTTAAACGAGTAAATTACTCTTTAGATGTCATACAGTAAACACTTGTTCCACTTGCAGATGGTGGATGTAAAATAATTGCTATTCAAAGTTTGAATTAGTACAGAAACCTCATAGAAGTCATCTTGTATAATTTTCTGTAATGGAACTTCTTAAATCTAATATGTGTACATCTTCTAATGGTAAGGTATCAGCACAATATATAAATCAATGTTGCTTTATACTGGAATTCATCATTGCTTTCCATTATGTTTTATCTAATGACAAAAGAAAATTTCAGGTCCATCCAAATGTTCCCTGCGTGCTGTTTACCCCAATCTGTCCACATTCGCTCTCATTTAGGCCAGTTATACTTCCAGATTCTGTTCAACTAGAATTAAAGGTGAAGTTAATCATTCTCTCCGTGGTAAAAGAATCATATTGGATATTCTTGTTGCCAGAATTGGATGTTATTATTTCATGTCTTATGATGCTTCTTCTATGCGAGAAAATGTTTCCTTTTTCGAGCTTATGATAAGTTGTCTATCCGGCATGTGTTAGAAAAAAGGCTCCGCGATGAATTATGATTTGGGATTTAGCGTTCATTTTGTGATTAATAATTGAGTTTAGTAAAAGATGTGAGTTACATAAGGTTTATGAATAACAGATTCCAGAAGACGCAAGAAGTAATGCCTGGGTTTCATTTGATGGGAAGAGAAGGCAGCAACTCTCAAGAGGAGATTCTGTCCGAATATCTATGAGTCAGCATCCCCTTCCAACCGTTAACAAGTTTGACCAAACAGGTGATTGGTTCCGTAGCTTGATTCGCTGCCTAAATTGGAACGAGAGGCTTGATCAAAAGGCTCTCTAATGCATGTGAAAGTGAAAGAGTAGATATGCATTATCCTACCCTGAAGACAGGGCTTGTGTAATTCCTGTACAGATGGTATACATTGAGATTACAGAACATAGATATAGTACATACTACCAGTTTATTACATTGGCTTCCATTGTGAAGATAGGGTTTGCCAATAGTTTTTCAACATGTTATAATAGCAAGATGCTGTTTGTATATGTAGACATTTTTAAAAAGCAGTAAATTGCTGATCTTAGAAGCAGCTCATTGTTCCATCTGAAAATTTATCACTTTTTCTTTTCTTTTCTTTTCTTTTTATGGGGTCCTTTCTTTTATTTTTTCTTATACGATAAAACGAAGCCTTGGATCAACTTGTTTGATTCATCAAATAATGAATGCTAAATGGTTACGGGGTTCACCAACTTTCATATCAAATTAAAGGTTATGGATTTTGTCGTGGCCAAGTATAAACAAATATCTACTTGCCAATCAATAAAGTGTGTGATTAAGAATCCGAATCTTAGCTGCACATAATTGAAAAACTTCATAAAAAGACTACTTTGACTGCTGCCCTTGAAAATATGCAGTTCTTATATTTGGTCAACCATTGCGGCAATAGGAAAGACATGTGGTTAGGTGGTGGCTGTGAACTGTTAACAACTTATGGATGTGTTTAAAATGTCAAAAAAAACAGGTAAGCAAATAAGAATAAGGAATATAAAAATATAAAACAACTTGTGTTGATTAAAAAAATTGAGTTGTAGACTATTAGTGCTTATCTTTTTATTAATTCAGGTGCTTGACGGCAGACCCAATTAATGTCACGGGTAGTTAATGCAAAAGGCTCTTTGACTCCACTGCACAGATTAGGATTTTTATATTTTTTAAAGTCTTTTCTATAACACTATACATATGCAACAAATCAAACTTTATCTCAAATATTTCTTCTATAAACCATAATCGTATATGATCAGATTACAAATGTGTACAAAAAAAAAAAATCAAGATATATATGGCACGACTTTAAGGGTAGTTTGAACCTTCACCAAGTGGTGGCCGTGAATTTCTGACTCATACCTAATTCTGATCCAAAGACTATCTGCACAAACAAACTAGTATAGAGCTTCTATCTATATTGTGCTCATACTTGTTGAATAAGATGAAAGATATGGTGTTGATCTTCCACTTCTTTGCATACCATACAACAAAGAAGATTGAAACGACTCATGACCAAGTGGAACTGGCCTATCTGGTAATTTGGGAATGTCAATGTCACCCTCTAACATCTTAAGGGCTTCAGCAATTGTAGGCCTTAATGCCACCATTGCATGAGCACAAAGAATCCCAACAAGAACAAACCTTTCCATAATTTTTTCTGGCCCTTCTTCTCTTATAGACTGATCAAAAATTTCCTCCACTTTTTCTGATTTTGCAAGTGACCATGCCCAATCAGTGATTAAAACCACAGATGAATTCAAAGTGTCAAGCACTTTTCTTCCACTCATGATTTCAAGAATCACAATACCAAAACTGTAGACATCACTTTTCTCAGTTAGTTGCCCATATAGAGCATACTCTGGTGCCAAATAACCATATGTGCCAGCAACCCTTGTGGTGAGATGAGATTGGCCTTCACTACCTTGCTTTGCCAAGCCAAAATCTGCAACTTTAGCTTTCATTTTGGAATCCAGAAGTATATTTGTAGCCTTTATGTCACGGTGATAAATTGGGGGTTTGATTTCATAATGCAAATAAGCAAGCCCTTTAGCCACATCAAGAATTATGTTCTTCCTTTGTGGCCATGTTAGCCTATTAGCCCCAGCAATTGACAATTGGTAACTGAGGCTGCCATTAGGCATAAAATCATAAACTAGAAACCTCCTCTTACCTCTCAAATTATCACTTGTAACACAACAACCCCGAAGAGCAAGAAGATTCCTGTGCTTTATTTTGCTTATGATCTCCACTTCATAGCCAAACTCTTCATCCCCTCTAGTTTCCAAGTCAGAAATCTCCTTAACTGCAACCAAAGTGCCATCTGAAAGAGTCCCTTTGTACACAACCCCATCACCACCTTGACCAATCATATTCCTCTGTGAAAACTTATTTGTTGCTCGATCAAGCTCTGATATATGAAACCATTTCGCACCAGTATTAGGCAAAACACTGGTCCTAACACTGTTTTCAATTGACCTGTGATAAATATTCTCCTTCCTTCTCCTATCCCACTTCCTATACATAATTATCAGAACAAAAGCAAGCACAACACCAATAAGAGCACCCAATAACCCAAAAACCAATTTCAACACTTCTTCTCTATGTGATGACCCTTTTATAGACAGTGGCAAGCCAAGTATGCAACTAGCTGTGCCAACATCTGTAGGACCAAACTGATTAACAACAGCTGCAGCATATAAGATTGTAAAATAAAAACACTTTGTTGCATTTTTTGGATCAATACTAGTCAACTGAGAAGTAACTTTAAAGCCAGCATCAGTGCAAATACTGCATCGAGTTTGATCCTTCATGTCCCCATTACAAGAAGTGTCTAGTGGACTCAACGTACCTACTTTTTGCTTCCAATCTTTGGTAGTTATTATACCTGCACAACTAGAAGAGTTAGTAACAAACTGGGTTGAGTTATGGAAGCAAGAAGGGACCAAAGATGGCTGAATTGACATAGATGAAAGCTTGACTTTGAAATCAGATAAGCAAGTGGAGGAAGTGTTTTCATCAGGAAGTTGAAACAAGGAAGTTTCTTTGAGGTGTTGGGCAAGCCCTATGCCAAAGAGGCTGAGCAGAGCTTGGCAACAGTGTTGTGCATCAATTGGATCTCTGCAGGATGAAGTGTCCCATGGAAAGGTCTCAACATAACTGAGATCCAAGGGACATGAGGAAGATGCAACATCAGCTTTGAAAATGGTGAAGAGGAAGAACATGAGGAGGGGAAAGAACAACACTTGCTTATCCATGTTTTGATTTGTGATGAAGCAACACATTCACACACAAAGGTTTTGGAATCATTGGACCCTTATAATAGCCATTTTCAGAGATGTGAAGTTTTACTAGTCAACCACGGCTTGCTATAAGGCACGTTTTGTATAAATAAAAACATAGTAAAATGCAAGTGTTGGACTTAAAAAGCCATTTGTGACTAACGTGGTGTGTTTCTTTTTGCTGGTCATAGTCAAATTGTTACTTCCAATTTTCTTTAACTTTTTGTTTTGTTTTTTTTTTTTTGGTTAGGGACGTTTACATCACCTTTATATTATCTTTTAGGGTTTTATAAGAGTTATGTTGTAGGAAAAGTGATTGTGTTATGTTATAAAGATTCGTTTTGCGTGTCAAAGATTTTTTTTTTTTCTGCTGCGAGCTCCACAAAATGTTGTGTGTGTAGAAAATTTTTTATAGTCATGTTAAATGATAGATGATAAACCCTATCTTTTAATCTAAAGTCTAAACAAACACACATAAAATCACTTTTTATTTAGGAGGAAAGAGAAGGTTAAAAAATAGGAGAAGGTTATAGTTACTATCTCTTTATTAATTTGGGTTTTAACCTTCTCCTTTCTCCTAATTAAAAAGCGATTTTCTCTTTATTAATTTGAGTTTAAACGTTCTTATGGTATCATTGTTGTAAATTCAAAAAACAAATTGACAAAAAAAATATGTCAAATGAGATGTCATTACGTAGATCTCGAAAAGTTATGTGGAATAAAAAAAAATTACCTAATTCGGACACCCGAGTCAAAAGTTATGGACTTTCAAAGTTTTACTGTCGACTCTTGTGACACGTGGCAGCACCTGACGAAACACGCCCAAGTGGAGAGTGTCTCTCTCCTGGGTCACGCCCAAATAGGGAGTGTCTCTCTCCAAATTACTCACGCCACGCCCCTGTTAGGCGTGTCTCTCTCTTGATCACGCCTCATGTGGGCGTGTTTCTCGTATAACTCACGCCCCATATGGGCGTGTCTCTCTCCATTGAAACACGTCCCATGTGAGCGTGTTTGAGTGTTATATTTGCATAAATAATTTGAAAATAACTACATTTTCATAATTTTTTATTAAAAAAACAATAAATTAATTTTTTTGCCTTGAAATCTAACCAAACTTTACCTTGGCAACAAATTACAACACTCAAGGCTTATCTGGTGAAGTGTGTGGATCGTATGAATCTATGATGATGAGAAAGAGTTTTCGGTTGGGTGAGAGTATGACAGTCCCCTCCCAAAATAAAAATAAAAAAGTAGAGATTGAGAGAAAAAAAATTAAAAAGACAAGGATAAAAATGAAAGAAAAAATTTTATTTATGAAAAAAACCACTAAATAAATAATACGGCAGCACCACAATAAATTTTTTCCTATGATGAGGAGTGAGGACACGCAGATATAGCTGATTAGCAGAAATAAATAATACAGGATGAGAGATATATATTCAATATAGTAATGTGTAGAAAGAGAATAAGCCGAATAGACAATAACTCCTCCTTATATTATTATTAAGTAGAGTAGCTGCCTAGCCTCTACCCTTGTTTAAAAATCCGGAGTACATGATTGGTCACAATTTAAAAATTGAATAATTAGGCATCATATTATTAGCAAACAACTTGCATCCAAATGATACACATTAAGAACATAGTTTATGTCATTTTTATTATTCACATGTTAAAATTTGTTTGTGACATATAACTTTCCACCACTAATATTCTAAAAAGTGACCATACATTTTGAAGTTAAAATTAAGGATGTGTTTGGTACAAGAGAAATTTTTTGGTGTCCGGAAATCATGATTTTCAATAATATAATGAGAAATCCAATTTAATGGGAATGGTATAAAAAAGTTGTTTAGTAGATATAAATATTACTGAGAATATTTAATAATTTTACTGAGTATATGTTTGGCTGATAATAAAATATTACAGGTAATATATGATGATTTTATTAAAATAACCTTAACTTTTCAAAATATGATTCTTCAACAGCATTTTGTACAAGTACGATATTGTTTTTTTTTGGCATTTGTTAATCTTAGAAATGAAATGGATCAATGAATTTGTGGTTAATTATTTATGTGGGCTGTGCAACTAAATTTTATTCGCATGTGTGTCCCTCTCCCCTTCACACAAACACAGCAATTACGGTGGCGTTGCTTTTGGCCCTCCGAAGAAGGTTTTCGCAAGCCACAGCAATTCATACAACTGAGAAAGCATGGGCGGAGATGTGTGCTCGGGGTATATTTGTCTCAAATTTTGGTGTTGTCCTTTCCCTTCCATTGGAATTCCGAATTACCATGGTTTTTTTTGGTAATTTAAACAGTAATTTTTCTTTGTTAATCAGATTACTGGTAATCAAGGATATCTGGTAAAAAGAATTTTGTTTAGTTGTACCAAACGTGGCAATTCATGTTTACCAAGATAGCTTTACCGGTCATCCTTGAAATAACTTTGTACCAAACACATCCTAACTGACATGTGTAACTCACGTGATTCTCCTTTATTGAAAAACACCCGAACAACTCATTACTTCTCCTTTCTGGCTTTCACCATCATTTTTATGCAGCAAAAGGTTCGTGCTTAGTGGCAAGGCATTTGTATGTCAGTTGAGAGAATGATTTTGTTACGTGCAAAAATATTATGTGATTATGTGATTTGATTATAATTATTTATTGATGATGAGATAAGAGAGAGAAAAATATATAATTTTTAAATAAGTAATTATGATCATATAATAGGATCACTTTTCCAGATGAGATTTCATTTCCGTTAGTTAATATTTTGGTACCAGTTAATTTTTAAAATTGGTATAATTTTTTTTCAAAAGTTATGGTACAGTTTTAGTATTTTTTTGACACTTGTTGATGCCGCACGTGGCTTCTTCTCATGCTTTTGACTCTTCTAGCCTTGCTGAGTTGTTTGTAGTGTAGGAGTGCTAGATTAATATATCTTGAATGGTGAGTTATATATATCAATATGAATATATCTCAATGATGGCTGAGGGAGGGGGACTATATAAAGATATAATGGCTCTAAATTTTAACAAAATAACGACTCATAAATGTTATAATAATTTTTATTTGTAAAATGTCTAAGCGCATTGAATTAAAAGTGTGCATGACAGTCTTTTCAGAATTACTTTTTTTTTTAATTTTTGTTTCTAGAAACAGAAATGGATGAAATAGTATTTCACAAAATCGATTTATTTTTTTGTTCCCAAATGAACCAATTTAATTTCTTTGCTTAAAAATAGAAAAAATAATCAAAAAAATTCAGCTTTTTTATTTCCAGACATAAAATGATAAACATTTATCTCTTTGAATCACTCTCTACCACCACTACTATCATGTATGTGATGACCCTTAGACAGTGGCAAGCCAAGTATGCAACTAGCTGTGCCAACATCTGTAGGACCAAACTGATTAACAACAGCTGCAGCATATAAGATTGTAAAATAAAAACACTTTGTGGCATTTTTTGGATCAATACTAGTCAACTGAGAAGTAACTTTCAAGCCAGCATCGATGCAAATACTGCATCGAGTTTGATCATTCATGTCCCCTTTACAAGAAGTGTCTAATGAACTCAACATACCTACTTTTTGCTTCCAATCTTTGGTAGTTATTATACCTGCACAACTAGAAGAGTTAGTAACAAACTGGGTTGAGTTATGGAAGCAAGAAGGGACCAAAGATGGTTGAATTGACATAGATGAAAGCTTGACTTTGAAATCAGATAAGCAAGTGGAGGAAGTGTTTTCATCAGGAAGTTGAAACAAGGAAGTTTCTTTGAGGTGTTGAGCAAGCCCTATGCCAAAGAGGGTGAGCAGAGTTTCGCAACAGTGTTGTGTATCAATTGGATCTCTGCAGGATGAAGTGTCCCATGGAAAGGTCTCAACATAACTGAGATCCAAGGGACATGAGGAAGATGCAACATCAGCTTTGAAAATGGTGAAGAGGAAGAACATGAGGAGGGTAAAGAGCAACACTTGCTTATCCATGTTTAGATTTGTGATGAAGCAACACATTCACACACACACACAGAGGTTTTGGAATCATTGGGACCCTTATAATAGCCATTTTCAGAGAAGTGAAGTTTTACTAGTCAACCATGCACGGCTTGCTATAAGGCACGTTTTGAATAAATAAAAACATAGTAAAATGCAAGTGTTGGACTTAAAAAAGCCATTTGTGACTAACGTGGTGTGTTTCTTTTTGCTGGTCATAGTCAAATTGTTACTTCCAATTTTCTTTAACTTTTTGTTTTTTTTTTGTTTTTTGGTTAGGGACGTTTACCTTACATTTATATTATCTTTTAATCTAAAGTCTAAATAAACAAACACAACTATTCATCTAGTTATGGGAATTGTTCAGTGGTATATAAATAAGGGTTTTATAAAAGTTACGTAGTTAGCCTAGTGGTTGGGTGTGTGTTAGGTGTGTATAGTGTAGTGGTGTGTGTGTTCAATTCTCATGTAATGCAAAAAAAAAAAAAAAAAAAAAAAAAAGTTATGTAGCAGGAAAAGTGATTGTGTTATGTTATAGAAATTCGTTTTCGGTGCCGGAATTTTTTATTTTATTTTTTGCTTCAAAAAACTGCGGGTCCCACAAAATGTTGTGTGTGTAAGAAACTTTTTGTAGTCATGTTGCATGATGAATGCAAACCCCTATAAATAAATCAAGGGAAATCTACTTTTGAAAAAAAAAACTTTTTATGTGACATGTTATAATTATATATTTAGGGAACTATATAATTATAATATTAAAGTTTATTTTTCTCTCTTCAGAAATTATCTACTGAGATGAAGAGAAAAAAATATATAATTTTTTTATTATAACTATGACATAAGAAGATTTTTTTTCCAGCAACATAAGAAAAAAGAAACTCATAAATCAATGGCGATAGAAGAAAAAATATTACAAAAAAGAGTGAAAAAAGATAATATTAATTTATGAAAAATATATTTCTCATATTACATGAAATAATTTTATCTTATAGACACATAAAAATAAAATTGGTTTTAGTTTCTCTCTCTTCTCTTTAGTAGGTTTTATTCAATTTTTTGTGTATTATATGTAATATGAGAAATATATTTTCCTTAATTCATTTATGAATAACTAAAATCGTCTTATATGACATAATCTTATTTAACTAATGGTATTTGTCCTAGATTTTGCATACTTTTCGTCTTAGAAAGCTAAACAATACTAATTACAAATTTAAATGTTACAATAAATGAAAATTAAACTATGTATTAAAAAATGAAAATAAGATAATAGTTATTATAATCACATCTTGAAAATTCATAAAAGTAATACAGTAAATATATATTATAAAAGTAATGTCGTATATATTTAATTGTACCCAAAAAATATATATTACTATACGATTATTACCTCACATAAAATAAGTCATCTGAACTTGTTTTTAGAAAAAATCAGCCAATCAACTTTGGAATCTGACCAAACTTTACCTTGGCAACAAATTACAGCATTAGAGGCTTATCTGGTGAAGTTTGTGGATCATATGAATCTACGATGAGGAGTGAGGACACGCAGATATAGCTGATTAGCTGAAATAAATAATACAGGATGAGAGATATATTAGCATGGGTCGAATCGAATTGAATTTTTTGAAAACTCGAACCGAATTGATTTAAATAGTTTAGTTCGAAAGTGGTTCGGTTCGGTTCAGAAGTGGTTTGGAACCGGTTCAGGTCGACCCTCTTTTGAAAAAAAAATTTAAAATTTAAAAAATAAAATTATAAAAATTAATTTGATTCGGTTTGAAAATGATTCGGTTCGGTTCGGAAACGATTCGGTTATTAAACCGGTTCTAAAAATCGGTTCGGTTCATGAACCGATTCTTTGAAAATCGGTTCGGTTCATAAACTGATTTTTAAAAACCGGTTATTTTATGGGGCGGTTCCGTTCATGGTTTGACCTAATTTTTTGATTATTTTGCACACCTATATATATATATATATATATGGGAAAATATTTTCTCCTTTTAAAGGAGAAATTTTTTTTCATGTTAGTGACTTATAATATAAGTAGGGTCTACAAAATAGTGGAGAGAAAAAAAAATTCAAAGTAGAACCCACTTATACTATGAGTCACTAACATAAAAAAAAAAATCTTTTAAAAGGAGAAAATATTTTCCCATATATATTCAATATAGTACTGTGTAGAAAGAGAAGAAGCCGAATAGACAATAACTCCTCCTTATATTATTATTAAGTAGAGTAGCTGGCTACGCTCCTGGCCTCTGCGATTGTTTAAAAATCCGGAGTACATGACTGGTGACAATTACAAATGAATAATTAGGCATCATATAAGCAAACAACTTGCATCCAAATGACACACATTAACAACATAGTTTATGTCATTTTTATTTTTCACATGTTAAAATTTGTTTGTGACACATAATTTTCCACCACTAATGTTCTAAAAAGTGACCATTTATTTTGAAGTCAAAATTAACTGCCATGTGTAACTCACGTGATTCTCCTTTATTGAAAAACACCCGAACAACTCATTACTTCTCCTTTCACACTTTCACCATCATTTTTATGCAACAAAAGGCTTTCACCATCATTTGTATTTGTATGTCAGTTGATATTTTGGTATAGCTAATTTTTAAAAGAGAAATATTACTCTCATTTTATATAAGAATAATTCTATCATATTATAGAGAGAATCTAAGTAAAGCCCACCAATAAAAAGCAAAAAAAAAACAAAGAGGAGGTGAGATTTTTGAAGTGAGAAAATATGAGATAACTATTTCATGTAAAATAAGAGTAATATTCTCCTTTTTAAAATTTGTATAAATTTTTTTCAAAAATTATGATATAATCTTAATATTAGTTAAATTTTTAAAAATAATATAATTTTGTCACCAACTAAATTGTATCAGATGAATTTTTATTTACACTCGCTGAGTTTTTTTTGTGTGCCTTAATTGCATGCCGCACGTGGTTTCTCATACTTTTTAGCCTTGCTGAGTTGTTTGTATAGGAGAGCTAGATTAATATATCTTGAATGGTGAGTTATGTCAATATGAACGTGCTCATAAAAGTAGTGATATAGATCAAAGTTTTTTAAAGACTCAACGTGTGAATATATCAATGATTAGGGATGGTCCGCGATATGAATTAGATCAGTTTTGGAAGTAAAAAATTATCTGATTTAATCTTTCAGTTTGATCATGTAATCATTCATTCGGTTTGAATTTTTTTTCAAATTCAATCCAATTTTTTTGATTTAAAATTGGATCGATTTTTGATTTTTTAAAAATATTAAAATTTGTTTCATGGTTATTGTGCAAATAACATCTTTTGTATAATAGGCTTTGTAAAAAAATTTCTTGAAATACAAAAGCTAAACGATAATATAGTTTTTTTTTTGCAATGAAATATGAAGCTCTGCACAGATGAAATTTTGTTGATGAGATGTGACTAGTTTTTTTTTTAGTTTAGTTGATGGATTAATAGGTCTTGGGTTTAGAAATTTTTGGGTTATGATCGGGGAAAGACCCAAGTAGATAGAGTAAAATTAATATATTGGATTGATTTGGATTAGATCAGTTTTCATCATCCCATCCAAAAATCGATCCAATCCAATTAAAATTTACTATTTTTTTCGATTCTCGATTTTTCGGCTTTCGGTTATCGGTTTTTTGGTTCGGTTACCGCAGTTTGAATCAATTTGGATCGATTGATGAACACCATTATGATGATGGCAGAGGGACTATACAAGGATATAATGACTCTAAATTTTAGCAAAATAACAACTAATAAATGTTATAATAACTTCCATTTGTAAAATGTCCAACCGCATTGGATTAAGGGTGTGCATGACACCTTTTTAGAAGAAAAAAAAATTCATTTTTTTGTTTCCAAAAACAAAAATTGATAGAAATAATATTTGACAAAACCGATTTATTTTCTTGTTCCCGGGAATGAACCTATTCAATTTATTTGCTTAAAAATATAAAAAGGAATAAAAAAAATTCAGTTTTTTTGTTTTGAGGCACGAAATGAGAAACAATTGTCTCTTTCAATCACTCTTCACCATTACTATTATCATCACTACCACCACTACCATCCATTACCACGCCACCACCATCGTCATAGCCACTATCACTGTCACTGCCATTGTCACCGCTGCAGCCACTGCCATTACTACCACCACTACTATCACCAAGCCACTGCTACCACCACTTTCACCACCACCACTATGCCATCACCACCACCACCACGACAACCATGTTATCATTACCACCACCACCAACACTGTCAGTGTTGTCACCATCCCATCACTATCATCACTTCTAACACCTCTCATAATTATTTTTTCTCCAAACTTTAAAATATTAACTTTGCATATTTTCTATGAATATTTATATTTATATTTTTTGGGTCACTTCATAGGTATACATTTATACCGCGAATGCACAGCGTTTGCATTTTTTTTTCTTTCAAAAAGTGACTTGATATTAATAATTATAATTTCATTCTAATTATCTTATTTTAATTATGGACCAATTTTATAAATTTATAATTAAATTATTAAGATTCATAATTTAGCAGGGCGAGTTCTTATATATGGTGTCTAAAAGATGTAATGTATATGTTTAAGCTAGGTGTGATTATTCCGCAATGTCAATGAGTTACAATTACTATTTTGGTTTATTTTAAATGCGATAATTATTGTTTTTTTTTTTGATAACATAAATGCAATAATTATTGTTAATGGAACATATAATGTTTAAAAAGAAAAAATTTAATCATATTTTTAATTGAACTGTTGTGGTGATTATAACTTCATTTAATATCATTCGTAATATTAACGAACTAGATGTATAACAGAGCATTACAAATATAATAGATGCAAGATACTTCTAATAAGTGAAGAGTAATATATACACGTGGAAAATATTCACATGGGAGAAAATGAGCCATAATCATGTTACTGATTATCTCACTGCTATGAGTGAGGCAGCACACTGTCAATGTGTATGGTGAGTTGTATTGGGAAATGAGAGATTCTCCTATACGATATCTATGATTGTGAGGAATAAATCTTTGGTACTATTGTTGTACCTAGATTCAGTGCATCTCATTAATGAGAGCATTGCACATCAGAGGAGAGAGAAGAAATCTGACAGAAAAAACAGAATTTTAACTAACATGCAATATTTTCATTGGTGAGATGTACTAAATCTTTGGTACAACAGTAATACCAAAGATTTATTCTATAAGGAGGAGGAGAATGACTCCTTTAATTGAGCCTTTAGAGGCTAGTCCTTGATTTTGGGCTTTGAGGCCAGTAAATAACACTTGTATACGAAAGTTTGAACCACGTTTATTTGGTTGTGGACAAAGAAAATGTATTCTGTGGGTCTGGATTATGGTGGTCCTTTCCAAAAAAAAAAAAAAAAAAAAAGGATGAAGAGGAGAAAAATTAAAAATAGAGGAGTAGAAATGGAAGAAAATTTTATATTTATAGAAAAGGCACCACTGAATAAATAGTAGGCCTTGAGCATATTAAATTTTTCCAATGGACAAAGGGCAACCATGAGAGCTTCTAAGAGAAAAAAAATTCCAAAAGATGAGAGTTTTTCCAATGCATGGACTAATGGAGCTTCACCCAGTGTTTTTTTGGTCCTCTTCATTGATCTATTTTGTAAAATTGGGCTTCTCAATTGAACTCTTGGCTGACAAAACTTTGATTGGGTTTACCCCGTCGTATAATGACCTATGGCACCACAATTAGAGGTCTTAAAATGGATTGAATTTTGTTAGCCAGCATGTAAAGTTTTATATTTAGCCATAATCTATTAGGTCCTTTTTGTGATAAGGCATTTTCTATCCCTAACCTCACATACCCTATGATTTAGCGAGTTGGGTTGAAATTTATTCGTGGACCAAACATTTTTGTACATAATTTTTTTTATTAAAAATATATATAAATATAAAATAAATTATAAACATAATATTATGATAAAAATATACTTTTATATATATAATTCTATAGAATTTATATATAATAAATATATTTTATTGAAATTTGAAGATTTTAAGCAAATGGTAAAAAATTAATTTATTCATATATAATTAATTTTAAAGTTTGGACCCAAATTTGTACTGAAATATACCGTATACAATGCACTTTGGTAGTTTTATGAATAATGATAAGTAATTTTTTTTTATAATGATAGTTGTTCAAGAAAATTAGTAGTTTAACTTTCAAATATATAGCATGAACATTTGTTCAATACTGATATTAAAATTATTTTTTCATTGCTCCTTTTGGTTTTCCATATTAGACTTCTCGAAAAAAATCTTCATTTAATGACATCCTTTAATAACGAAACTTAGGAAATGCAGTAAAATTAAATTTTTACTTATATTAAATTCGAGCTTACAATTTTACTTGTATATTTGTGTGTATATAATATATTATTTCATTAAAAAATTAAATTAAGAAAAAATTATATTTTATGTAGAATATTCTATAAAAGTGTTAAATATTTATTTATTAAAATAATTTTGAATGCATTGAATATAATAAAAAAATATAAAATTATAATTTTGGATGAGTCGAACCTGACCCTAATCCATAAAGCTTTTGTCCTAATAGAGTCTTTATTATTGTGGATCTTTTGGCCTAATCCATATAAATTAGGACCTAGTAAGACGGGAATCGAGATAGCCGATTTTGACGGTTCTAACGACAATCACCCACTATAAATCAAAACTTTGACAAAAGACACAACAAGAGTTACTAGCGAAAAAGCACATGGAAGCGGAGCTTAGCATGTAGGAATTAGAAATGACAAATATCGAATAGCTTTTAGTTTAAAGCGAAAAGAAAGAAGTCATGTATTTTAATACGCTAGTTCTAGTTGCAACATGATTTTTAATTAACTTCTTTTGTATTTTACATGTATTTTGTTGTAGGTCAAGATATAAATTAATCACGTAAAAACGAAAAAGCTATATTCTTCTGTCCGTAAAAGTATTAGTCGCCTTCAAGAAGCTTTACATTTCTCGCATAACATTATTAAATCAGGATCGACTCGGCTGAAATATTGAGTCATTAAATCATCGGTTTAACCAATGAATTATTGGTTAAATTGTATAATTTAGATAGGTATATATAATTTTATATTTAAAATTCTTTCATAATGATTTCTATGTTATTTAACAAAATTCATAATTATGTCTATTTAGAATTATCTAAAATTATATCTGATAACAAATGTATGAACTAATTTGCAAAAAGAAAGCTTTGGCAAGGAAGAGGATATTGTTATCTTCAACCAGCCTCTTCCTCGTATGGTTAGTTTACTGGATGGAAGTTTATTTGCTTTTCATAATTATAGAACTTTTGCATATTGTAATTTATTTTTTTCGGACTTAGGCCTTCCCTAATTTTAAAAAATAAAATCCATAAGGTCATTAATAAAAAGTAAAATTAATATCACTTTTCAAATTAGCTATTCTACCTTGTCTTATACGCTTTCAAAATTCAATCCAACTTATTTAGCATTTTAACTTTTCATTTCAATTTCATCATTTTTAAGTTTAAATGTTTAATCATATTTTTGTGTGTGTGATTGATACGTGAATTGAAAATAGTGCAACGCAATTTAGAAATTTTGCATTTGGTCGTTGGGATAAAATATTGTCATTATCAAATAATGTTATTATCATGTTTTAGCCATTAATTTTCGTCAATCAACGGTTATTATTTATCGTGAATTAATAATTAATTAATGAGTTTGATTTGTGAAAATAATAACATTTGATTGCCAGAATTCAACGATTGAGATATAATAGTAATATTGATAGTAATACTATTTGATAGTATTAATACCTATCCCTTGGTCGTTACTTAAAAAGCAATATCGTTTTGCTTTAATTTTTTTAAATATGCATAACTCAATTTGATTAACAAAATCTGACTGGGTCATCGATTTTATCAAAAATTGGTCGAGTCAAATCGATTTTTACTGAGTCAATTACATAGTCAATTCATTGACTAATTCGAATAAGTTACGTCATCAATTTACTAATTTTTGGGTCAATCACGTCATTGATTTACTAATTTTTGGATCAATCAAGTTGAGTCGAGTTTAATAATACTTCACGTAGAAGGGAAAACCATAAAAATAAAAAATAAAAGTGAAAGTTAAGCATCAGATTCAGAGTTGAAGTTGAAGTTAAGTCTACAGAAAGAGAGAGGAAAAGAAAAGGGGAAGACGCAAAAAAAAAAAATAAAAAAAAATGAGAAAGACATATCGGATTTCATTTTCACGGAAAATTTTCTCTCCCCTATTTTCCTTCTTCATCACAAGATTCCCGCCACTTCGCCCTCGCCATCTGACAAACACCAAATAAACTCCAAGTCATCTCTTTCTCTCTCTTTTATCAGATTTCTTTTTTCTACCTTCAAACACCAAATAAACACTTCCTAACCCCAAAAGGTCACAATTTTCCACGCGCTTGTAACCTTCCCAAAAAAAAAAAATTGATTTTTTTTCTAGGTCACAGTTTTTATTGACAATTCAAAAATTCTTTACCCGAATTGCTGGTGATTTCAGCTGTTCATAGAGGGGGGAAAGCTTCTAGTTAGTTTCTATTCTTTACTCAATCGATTCCATTGTGACAATTTTGAATTTCCCTGAGAAGAAATGGACAAGTTTGGTGTGTTAACTGAAAAGTATGGGCTAAAGCCGCAAGGAAAATCGGCTCCAATGGCGTCATCAAAACGACCCACTAATGCACGTGATTCTCAAACCCTAACTAATTCGGCTCTAAACCCCAAAACTTCCCAATTCGGATCCAGATCTCATCAAAACCCCACTTTTGATTTCGCTCCCTTTTTTTGACGAAAATAAGAAAACCCAGCATTTTGAGGGTCTTGATGTTGATGGCTTTGACGATATCTTTTGTGGGCACAACAAATCGAATGTTGGTAATGGCGGTTCGGTTAATAATGAGTATTTTGATGATGTATTTGGTGAGTTTGCTTCGCCGCCAAAGCAGGGTGTTGCCATTGATGACTTGCTGGATAAGATTGGTGGGATCCACGCAAAACCCAAAAGTTTGAATGGGAATGGAACTGAAGGGGTTGCTAAGAAAACATCTGAATTTGATGACTTGATACCTGGGTTTCGTGCCAGCGCTGTTACAAATAATGGGTATGGAACTTTTGTACTCGTTCCTCTGTTTTCTTCGTTTGATTGGGTATTAACTCTTTACGGTGTCGATAAAGAAAAAGAGAAATGTTACTCTTTCTTTTGCATATATATTTTTTTATTATTGGATGAATTTTCATGTAAGCTGGCAGATAAAGAAGTAAATTTTCAGTAACTGTGAGTGAGGACATACGTTGACTCACGTGGCATTGAAAATAAGGAAGAGGATGGAATAAATGCAGTTAAGTTAATGGTGTATTTCCCCATTACTACAATAGGAGTATTGAAAATTTATCCCTAATTAAGAGTGAGCTCTAAGTTATTGAAGTTCACGCGAGATTTTATCTAAAAATAAAAATGTATTACCAGAATTCCTCTTAAAAGAAATACTTATTTACTCAGAGGAATACTTTCGGCAGATTAGGAATTGTTCATGTATGATTTAATAGTATTTTATATTTAATTCAATATTGTTAGGTGGTGCTGCGTATTATATTTTTTAGTGGACAAGTGCAGTGCTCACATAATGCATAGTAATCTCTCAGGAGGTTGGGGCTACTTGTAAATTAGAGGGAAAAATTAAAGAAAAATGTTCACAAGTGATTCCCTTCTTTGGAATGAAAAGTCTTCTTGTACACCTATATGTTAAGGTGTGGATTTGAAGCTTCCAAATTTCTTGTATCAACTTCCTGTTTATAAATGCATGGAAAACTAGGGATCATTAGTAAACGCTGGTAGTGTTATTTTCCTCAACAATAATTAAGAGTTTTTAGCAGTTATCGGCATAGTAATGTGTTCCTAGCAAGCTTTGAGTGGTGTTAGGGTTTGTGTGGGGAGCATAAGAGCATTGCTCTCCGTGGAAAGCTAACTGATATGTTGAGAACGTGTTATATATGCTGGTATATTGTGGCTTAACTAATATACCACATCTTTTCTATCTGCAAGTGATTAAGTTGTTTATAACTTGAATTACGAATAAAGGAAGACATTCTCTACCTTCTCATTGGTAGGTATCATCTTTCTCTTTAGTCTCACTGTCTCTTAATGTGAACTCTTTTTCAGTAGATCAAGTACTGATATGAATAAGCCTCATAAACCAACTGTCTCCTCAAACAAACCAGCAGTCACATCTAATGATGATCCATTTTTAGTATTTGAGGCAGCTTCAAGCCCAGCGTCTTCAGAATCATTTCTGGACTCACTGGAACAGATTGGTAAACCAAATAGTTCTGATGGTACAAGAGCCAGCTCCGGTACCTCCCCGTCGTTGAGATCTTCTGAATACTTGAGATAAAAGACATGAATAACCATCTTTTTTATCAGATACTTAAGAGGTAATCTGAAATTTTTATGATGCAGTTAACAACTCAAGTGTATCATCAATAGATGAACTTGAGGAATTTGCCATGGGTAGGGTGCAGAATGATCCCAGTAGAGAGGCGAATGTACATACTGGTGAAATTAAACAAAGTTCAGTAGTTAAGGCAAACAAAAATAAAGGAGCTCTAAATGCAAAGGGACATCAATTAAATGGCATGGATGATCTTGAATCATTTTTCAGCATGAGTTCTCGTGCAACCAGTGCACCAAAGTCAAGGTCTTCAGATATGGTAAAAGTTATTAATATAATAAGTTCAAATGATTCTGCAACATAAAAAAGACTATATTCAGTATTTATTGCTGATGCATTGATCAGGATTATATATTTGATCACCAAATGCTAAACAAAGGGAGACCTGAAGTGTCGCAAAGGGTGCCATCTAGATCCTCAGCAAGCATAAAAAAATCTTCAGTGATGACACCTCTTGATGATCTTTCATTGATTTTTGGTGGTAAGTTGCTGCTTCAATATACCGAGTGTGTTTTGGATTGCCGACCCCAACTAGTTCGGGATAAAGGTGATTTGATGTTGATTTGTTTGAAATAGTTTATAACTAGAAGCTTATTTAGAGAGCTTTTGAAAAAAAATGAAATTTTCTCCAAAAAATAATCAAAATTTAACATGTTCCAATTTTATAATATTGATTGTGTCTGCAACATATCATTTGTTTTTATTATTTTACTTTTTTTTTTTTCAAAAGGTTCTCCATCATCTGAATTCAATGAAGTTGAAGGAGAAACCGAAGAAAGACGAAAAGCAAGATTGGGACGTCATCAGAGGACCCAAGAGCGAGCAGTATGCATTTTTACCTTCTCAGTTTTTTATTTTCTTTTGATAAGGAGAAAGGGGGATTAAGTTGGAACTCAATAATGCAAATTATGTAATTTTTTCTATCTATATCTTAAGTTCTACAAAAGGCCTAGTTTGTTTCTTTATATTTATTATATTTTCTGAATTCATTTGGTTGTCAAATCTTTAGCTTAATGCTCCTTAACGAGACCCAGCATAACATATCATCTGTATTTGACCTTTTGAGGCTTGGCTATACTTCTTTAATCTTGAACTCAAAAGCATATATGATGTCTTCGTAGTCCATAATGGACATTGGCTTTATTTTTCATTGCATTACATGTTTTATTAAAATAAGTTTATCTTGGTACAATTTTTATTCTTCTGACTGTCATATTTTCAGGCAAAAGCATTGGCTAATATGAATCAGCGTGACCTTGAAACTAAGATGGAGGAAGAAGAGAGGCATGTAAGCTTTTATAGTGTTTTATTTGGATAGTGATTTATTTCCAAGGGTTATAGTATTAATTCTTCATTATTTTATCACTTTTCCTTTTCATGTGAACAATATTATTTGAATAGTTAGTGTGTAATTATCTATTCTTGTATTTCTTTTGTTTTTTATTCTGTATATTTATTACATTTTCTTTGTTTGGCATTTGATTTTAATTTTGTAGAGAATTGCTGAAATTGCGGATGTTCAGATAAAGCGATGGGCTGCAGGGAAGGAAGGCAATCTGCGGGCATTGCTATCAACATTACAACATGTGCGCTCTTTTACCATTGTTACTTGTTAATACTTGATTGCACTTTAGGGGTCTTGAATATATCTCTTTTATCCTGTAGTCAGATTTGCATGCATGGTGACTATTGTCACTATCCTAAATGTAAGAAAGTAGCATTTATGTCACATAAAAAAGTAAATAGAAACATTAGGTTCTTTGGCTGTGTGTATATGCCAGATAGTCACTATAACCAAGGTTCAGAATAACTGCCCATTTTAATTTTTGTGCAGAATGATAAAATTCAGTGTAATATTAACTGATGGAAAAATGAAAAAGCAGTGAACCATGCCTTATACAGAAGATATCAAATATGTAGCCTAAATTGTACGGCTGACCTGATCTATTTTCAAAAAATAAAAGGTCTGGTCTGACCTAATTTTAGAAAGTAATAGATCTAGTTTGGGCCTGTTTAAGCTTGTAAATTCCATATCCTATATCTAACCCTCAACTTTGGCAAACCCTAGAAATCAAAGAATTCAAGTTGCTAACTTTGGGGCTGATCCCACGGGAGAGCAACATTCTGACAATCTAAACTGAATGGTCAACCTTTATGGATTCCAAACACGCTCTGGTCAACAAACTGAACACGAAAGGAGCCAACCCACAATCTTGGTAGTTCTAGACAATGGTCTCAAATACCTTCGAAGGTGGCAACTTTAAATGACAATCTTCGTCGTTGTCGAGCTTGGAAGCGCAAGTGGTGGTTCAAATGGTGTTATAGCTTATAGGTGTGGGACTTGAGGTGGGCACATGTAAGTTGGATGATGGTTGAGTAAGAAGCGAGGTTGTGGTGGCATCGGAATTTGGATTTGGTCTAGAAAGCGAAGTGCGAGGTGAGGTTTGTTCTTAATGTGGAGAGTGATTTGGGAAAAACCAACGGGATCGATGCAGTTGGGAATTGGGATACAGATAATGGAGACAGTAACGTGCTAGGTGAGGACGGAACCCATGCTTGTTAGCACACTTTCGGCAACATCGTTTGAAACAAGAGGAAAAAAGGCATATGAGGACTTGAATTGCCAACAACATTTGAAACAAAGTATAAGGACAGTCTTCGGGTTCTGCAAGGTGAATGGCAGTGCTATCAACAAAACCTTTCCTTTGTTTTTGTTTTTCATGTCTTTTAAAAGTAGTCCTCTAGCTTGATTTTTAAGTAGTTTAATTTTTAGGCATTAGTGTTTGGGCCGATTCAATCACACAATTGCAAATAGAAAAAGAAGAGGGAGAGAAAAGCAGTACACGGTTTACCCTAGTTCACCCTAATGCAGTGCTACGTCCAGCAAGTTTGTCATCATATTCTCCTCATTGCACTTGTTACAATGCACTAAGTTATCAGAGAATATAAATACATTTTTAGAAAACTCTTAAGCCGTGCCCAAGCCCAAACTACTAAACAAAAGAAAAATACAAAGTAACCTGAGGCCCACAACAATATCAGGCTTCTACGAGTACGAGGACTTGAGTCGTCGTCTAGATGCAATGTAGGATCCATCTTCCACAATAAATATGTCCTATTTAACTAGACTGGTCAGGCCAGGCCTAACACAAAATGTAGGCTCCTAATAGGTTGTTTGATCTATTTACACCCGTAGTGATAGTGGACCAATTGGAATATGTTGACTCAGTTATGTATGCTCTATACTGGTCAAATTGACCTGAAGTTCGTGCCGGAAAGGGAGTGAGGGAATCCTATTAGGAATTTATAACTATTCAAAAGAAAGGTAGCATTGATTATGCTATATGACAACTTCTGTATAGGATTTGGTTTTGGTGAAGTGGAGGCCTTTGCCTTGCTAAATTTTTCAGTTGTTTCCAAGATCTGTTTGTAAACGTATAGCTTTGGAGTTTCTCAATGGTTTCTATTTGGTTGTCTTCAGATATATGTAGACTTCTTTGATGCAAATAAAATAATAACATTTATAATCGAAGATTAATCTTTTGTTAGACCGTTCCAGGTGCTAAAGAAAATGATGTATCTGTCCTTACTATGAACATCTTTTTTCATTTTAGTGATAATATATAAATTACCATTCAGTTTGTTTTCTGTTCTTTCTACATCACAAAAATATTACTTTTTTTTTCTATTTTTTTTAAATTTCCCGTTATGCTTTCTTACCATTGAGTTTATATGCAGGTTCTTTGGCCTGAATGTGATTGGCAGCCAGTATCTCTGACAGATATGATCACTTCGTCTTCAGTTAAAAAAGTCTATAGAAAAGCAACATTATGCATTCACCCAGATAAAGTCCAACAGAAAGGTGCTAGTCTTGAACAGAAATATACTGCAGAGAAGGCTTTTGACATCCTGAAGGTACATTGTTAAAAATAATTATGAAAAATAAATCGTCTGCAGTTGAAATCTTACGAGCTATGATTTTTTATCTGTATTTATAATTTCTTTGTAAAATAACTACATGTTATCTTGAAACAGGAAGCTTGGAAAAAGTTCAGTGCAGAAGAGCTTTCTTAGATCCCTTTACTAATTGTCTTCGCGAATGAATAATGCTATCCAAGACTTGCTCTGCTGAATGCTGATAGAGTTTTCTTGTACCGTTGTAGATACTCTTGGTTTCATTTGGCAGCCGATTCTTTTCCAGATGCATTATGTGGAGAGCACTTCACTGTAAGTTATCACTTTTGTATAGTAATGCTGATTCATAAATCTGTACAAATTTATAATGCTCCTTATCAGTTAAGACTGGCCAGTTTCACTCAAAATTTTGATGACAAGTGTTTGTCATCCAAGGGCCTGTTTGGTGTGATGTATAAGGCCCGATAGTATAAGCTTATACTATACGTTATGACATTTTCAATTGTTTGGTGTGACCATCGTATAGTATAAGCTTATACAACATGACCCCTTTATACATCAAAATGATGTATAACTTAATCCGGCCTAGGAGTGGTGGATTAGGCATGATAAGGGATTGATGTATTAATATTGCTTGCAAGTACAATTCCCAAGAACTAATATATCATTTCAATATTTATATATTAAAATAATTTTTTTTAGTATATTAATTTTTAAAATATTGGAGGATATTATCTTATACAATATCATACCAAACGCTGGATAGTATTAAAATTTAATCAGGTCTTATACAATCAGGTCTTATACTATCAGGTCTTATCCTATACTATGCACCAAACATGCCCCAAGTTCTTGAATTACAATACGTAAATTGTTCAATTGCTTTTTTCAATAAAACTTCATGAATCTTATCGAATTAGAAGATTAAATAACATAATAAAAAATAACTTTAAAATATATAATATCATCATCAACATCAACACTACCTTTATGTCAAACTAGTTGGGGTCTGGGAGATGAATTCAAATGAAAAGTATGAAAAGATTGAGAAAAAAAGTTAAAATAATAATAATGTATATATATATATGGGAAATATAAGAATCATGTTGCAGGAATGGCTCTGTTCATTCCTGCAACAAGGATACGGCGTCGTATCCTGACTTTGGTCTGACTTTTTTTTTTTAAGCGTGGGACCCACACTTGATTTGTGTGTGTAGGAAAGTGCTCTTGTCATGTCAAATGACAAAAAGGGAACCCTATATATATATAACATTATTCATAAAAAAATAGCAGTAAATAATTAAAAGGAAAAATAAAATAAAATGAAAATAAGAATAAGAATATATAAGAGGACAAAAAAGAATAAGAAAGTAAAAATAAAAAATAAAAATAAAGATTAATATTATCATTATCACTATCAGCTTCTAGCATTGGTACAATTAACCCATCATCCTCTTCATTATTATAGTCATAGCACTCATCTTCCATTATCTATTAAGTTGTAACTAGGGTTGTGTTTGTCCTTGATATCTGTATGCATATGATGTACTGTTGAAAGAAAATTGACTTTTCAATTGATTGTTGATTTGAGCCATGATTCCGAATTCCCACATATTTAGGTTTCATTTTCTGGCAAGTGCTTTTCTTTCCCTCATTAGTAGAAAACTAAACATGCTAAATAGGTTATATCAATCGATGCATGAGTACATCCGAGCTTTATTATTTAGTGCTCACTGAGCTTATTCTTTGGATTGCCAATATTTGAAAGCTAAAAAAAAACCTCACTTAACCTAAATTACTTCAGGGGATAGGATATTGTGACACAAATAATGTTACGCACAAGGTTACTACCACATCTTAACCGTTGATTTTCGCCAATCAACGGTTATCATTTATTGCGAATTAATAATTAATTAATGAGTTTGATTTGAAAAATGATAACCGTTGATTGGCGGAAATCAACGGTTAAGATGTGGTCGTAACATTGTGCGTAACATTATTTGTGTGTCACAATATCCTATCCCTTACTTCAGATAGATATATTTTCTATATGAAAGCAACTATTATTATCTAAAATCTTTTGGATAGGGGATGTTATTTCCGATAATTTTATCCACTTAGAATACATACTTTGTGAGAAGTTTAATTTTTTTTTAATATTCCCCATTCTTAACCCTTTTTTTTTACATTTTAAATTTATGTTGAACTAATTATGTACATCATTATAATTTAATTTTTTTTCTTATATTAAGTCAGCCTTGTCATTCTATCAAATTAAATGGCTCGTGAAGTGAATGAATTTTGTCTTGCTTAAGTGATTTTTTTAATTATGAAGGGTATGTAAAATTTGTACCCAAAAAAATTGTTATAAAGTTATCATAATTTTCACAAAAAAGGAAAAATTGTCCAAAAGATTTTTTTCTACCTAACTTTGGGACCAATAGTTGATTTTGAGATAAATCTAATCGTCACCTCACTTTCATTGTGGAAAATTTGTATTTTGATTCTCTTTTTACGAAGAAAAACGTAATCTAAAATTAGTTTTACCTCCTTTGCTTACAAAATCATTTTGATTCAGGAGACTTGATGTTTATGGCTTAAGTTTTATTTGTCATCTGATATCACAAAGCAAACTTTTGACTAAAGAGAAAGTATAAAGTTCAAAAAGGAACAATAGGTAACATCTATATACTAATATAGTAGATATGGCTAAGGTAAAGTTTGATCTCATGGTATTTAGAAATAGGCAGATCCTAGATTTTAAAGAAATAAAATATTTTATTTTTTATTTTTTAAAATTAATGAATGGCGAGTGGTTATCCTATATTTGCAAAACTACTCTTCTCTCATTTTGTCGTCTAAACAAAGATAATAATAATAATGTATACTTGCTTGTGTATACGCTAATATATTTTTATTTTAAGAAAAAAAAGATGTATAAAAATATCATTTATGTCATTTTGTAAATGAAATAATTACCTAGTTTCTCTTTGCACTCTTCATATTTTAATCTCTTGTATGGTCCTAAAAAAAAAAAAAAATCTCGTATGGACAATAGTGGGTTTTACCGGGAAGGATATGGGGTATCTATTTGCAATGATTGACAAATTGATTCAAACACTATACTCAGAATTAAGATCCATAGACTCAATTTACAAAAATGGATATAAAAGAAAAGTCCAACAGTAAACTGTACTAAATCATTTTCAATTTTTGCCTGTCTTTGTTGTAAATCACCACTTGATTTGAAGTGGGTTTTACTGTAAAGTAAACCAAGAATCTTTGTTTCCCTTGGCCCTTGGAGATCTTTGATCCTCTATTTCAATTTAAGTAATTATTTATTTTTTATCATTAGAAAACATATAGAAAACTCTTTATAAGTAGGTCAGACACTTCCTATCATTATCATCCACTAACCCACTAACATTCATGAGATTTAGACCCCTAATGAAGAAGAGGGAGGGTATTAAAACAGGCAAAAAAAAAAACATAAAATAAGAACCTGGTGATTAAGAAAATTTTAAGGCCCACCACTTCCAAGCCACCACAACTTTCCAATGGCCCCAATGACCACTCTCCACTACCATTTCTTCCTTATTTCAAGGGTCTCCGCTAATATGTATTAGTTCCTAGCAAAAGTTATGTTAATTTAGACATTTATTTACTTTTAAATTACAGTCAAAATTTGATTCTTCTATATGGTAAATTCAGGTGTCACTAGTGTCTTATGCAAATATAAATCCGATGTATAATAGAATTCGCATATTCTCCTTATGGTGTTCACAAATTTTGGTGTTAAAAAACTATAGAAAGGTTAGCAAACATTATTCTTAATTTGCAGCACTTTTAATATTGTTCCTTGTTGTTGACAGTCTCAGTACTACCAACAAATTTTCATCTCTTGACACTTTTTTAACAGTCAGTACTGCCATTTCTCACATTATTATGTACTGATATTTTCACGTGTGTCAATTAACAAAATTTAATTTCTAATTCCAACAACTTCATCACAAGGTGACATACGGTTATTGTTATAGAACTTTCTGAAATTTAATGTCTAGCTACGTAAATCTATTTACGTATGCATTTCCTCTTCTAAAGATTCCTTTTACAAGTATGAAGTCTAATCAAGTGTTGCCTCGAGATAAAGCAATATGTATTGTCATTTCCAAATACAAGAAAACGTTGTTTTCATGTTAGTGGAAGGTTTTATACTTGTGCACGCAAGATTGCAAAGCCAGTGAACATGTACTCGAATGACACAATTTTGTGGCTTAGAGTGGAACTTATCAACTTAACAGCCAAAGTTTAGAGACATGTGGTGAGGTTAGAGAGTTTAATGAAGAAATGGTCGATAATACATGTTCAAAAATTAATTGATGCTTAACAATAGACCCTTCATTACTTTAAGGCCTTGAGAAAATATGTTAATCATCCAATGCAAGCATTGATATATAGATGTCTCAATCCATAATAACATATCACCCATCATCAATATGCCTTAGCTTTCACTCCACAAATGATCCATCACTTTCAAGTTTCAATAAGATATGTTGAAATCAGATCAGTGATGTGTACTGAATGGTCCAGCATGAACATGTTTCTCATTTTTGTAAATGGAGGTCACATTAGTGTACATGTGAATGCAGAATTATTGAGAAAGTAGGTTTTTAGGCAAATGCAGAAGTTTTCTGTTATACTATTATTCTTCAACAATCAAAAGTCTCTCTTTCAGATCCTTCTAACAAGCCTTTTAATCAGGCAATACAGAAAGTAACTGATAATAAAGAAAACAAAAATAACTATAAACAAAACATAAAGTCATGCAAGGTGAAACGTTTGCAATTATTAAAATTCATAAAAAGCTTTAAAACTGAAATATCTGCAATTATAATAACTTATGGTGACTCAAGTGCATCAACATGTACTTGAATTACAACACAATTTTGTAGGCAAGATTGGTACTTTAACTGCCAAAGTTTAGATGAGTTTAATGAAGAAATGGTACGTCCAAACTCCACGCTCAGATTGATGCCTAACACCACTCATAGGCACTTCATTACTTTTAAGGAAGGACCCATGCAGGTTGAATCTTGCTTTATAAAGTTTTCTAATCATGCAATGTGATATAACCATATGCGTCTCAAGCTATAGCTTATCACCCATCATCAGTGCCCTTGCTATCACTCCACAAATGACCCATCATTTCAAGTTTCAATCATATATATTTGAAACGGTTCAGTTGTGTGCAGTGCATGGTCTTTAGTATGAACATGATTCTCGTTTTATATAATGGAGGTCACACAGACACTAACATTATTGCACTTTCAACGGTGTATAATTTATCTAGTGGGCCCCCCACTACCCCAACCACTTCTTTCTCCTTACATTTTCCAATTCCAAATCAATAACCAGTTTCCGGGTATCTTCTACCTCTACCAATAACTTAGGAAAGAGTAATGGTAGTTACACATAACGGGCAACTCATATAGCTTATGGAAATTTTGGTGGATACTTGATTTTGAAAAAGAAAAATTAAAACAAACTTAAGAAAGAGAAAGAAGAGAAAAAACGTAAAAAGAAATAATGTTAATTAATTTTATGTGAGTTATGTGCGAGTGCCTTTAGCAATATACTGAAATTAGTTTTTTAATTTATTTTTCAACTTAATTAGAAACTTGAAATATATATACTTATATAGGAAAAGTTATATTTCCAAATTTTTTATTTACAAACTCTTTTAAATTACACTATGTCTTACCGGTAAGACATTCTTGAGTGAAGTCTTATCGGTAAGACATAGTACAATTTGTAAGTTTGTAAAAAAAAAAGTTTATCAATATAATTCTCCTCTATTTATATAGTTAGTTCCTCACAATTTTAAGATTCAATTTTGTTCTTGTAGTGTATCGCTTTTCAACTTAATCCTTCTACTTTCTGATTGGATGCAACTTGGTTACATTTTGACTTTGAGTGGTGATCTGGACTCACTACATACAAGATAGAGGCCCAATTATTAAAGGCTCTAAAGACCCCATTGACATAGCCTAATAGACAGACCATCTCTCTTTAGAGGCATGAATATCGTTAAGGTACTAGGCTATCAAGTCAATATAACTTAACCTAAAAGGAATCATTATTGTCAAGGTTATCAGTTCAGGCAAGTTGGCTACTACCAAAAACTAGTGAAAGGATGACGGCTCTTGCTTGCCACCATATCTATAGAATCTACTTTGAACATAGATTTGCCTATTAAGGAATAGCCTAAGAGAGGTCACCCCTCTCCACTAATCAACATGAACACCACCTGATGAAGGACAGTGGTAAACACGACGCTCAAACACTATAAATACAAAGGTCGTTGACCCAGGTATGATATTTCTCTTTGAATACTTGAACCTCATTGGATATTATATGGACTTGAGCATCAAAGTGCTTTTGCAGGTGCCCTCAGTTGCTCTCATGCTACCCAAAAAAGCAAAAGTACTGACCAATCGTCTTGCAACTCAATACACCATCTCGCCAAACTTCAAAATATCCCAGCAACAACTCATCAATCTTTACTTCTCTTCCTCAACATTCTCTACCTTTAATTGTGTGTGGTTACTGGTTAGACACAACTCAATTGGTGTTGAACTGATCAAGTGGAAACTTCAAATGAGGATTAATGAACTCCTCTGCTAATGAGAATTCATTCGATTAGTGACATCAAACTACATTAAGTTGAAAATTCCTGGGTTTCAATTCTTTCTATTATAAAATGTTATTAAGGCTTGTGACATGTTCTTTCCTTTAAAATGAGACAATCTCTGTTCCATCTAAAATTTTCTAAACCAAACAAAAAGAAAAAACAAAGGACCACATTAAGCTTATAGAAATTAGGAAGGTATAATTGAAAAAAAAAATTACATCAGAGATACCAGTGTCGAAGTAAAGTTGTCTTGAAGTTATTAATAGAACTAATCAACGAAATATCAAATCATTGACCTAAAGTCACTTTTTTTTTTTTTTTTTTTTTTTTTTTTGTAATAACCTAAAGTCACTTTCGGCTTGCTTTGAGGTCATTCATAGCACTAATTAATTATATATTAAATATCAATGATTATTACTTGCTCATCGCATGCCTGTCAATTAATTGCTTTTCGAAGTTTTTTAAGATTTAATACCAATAATAAAGGAAAATAATATATAATTATTTTGAATTTTGATTCTTTTGTAAATTGTTTCCATGATTTTAATTTAGTTTTATTTTATTTAGTTCCTAAACAATACTTATTTCACCAGTTAGTTCTTCCGTCTAGTTACTGTTAACCAATTAATTGACTTAATGACAATTCTAGCATTTCATTGTCCATCAAATTCTTCATCAAAAATCTTTATTTCATATATTAGAAAATTAATGAATAAAAAAATCTGAAAATAAATTTAAAATAAAAAATGAATAACTAATCATAAATATTGTAATGTACTTTGCACTACATTTTTAAAAATAGTTTGAATATAAATTTGTTTATAAGTAAACAAAATATTCAAACATATATTGAATATTTATTTCTGAAATTAAGAAAATCATAATCATAAATGTAGAATCTAAAATAATCCGTACAATTCACATGTAATATATGTGCAACTGCAATGCATTGGCAAAATAAGTAGTAGAATTGTTATCAAAAATAAAAATAAAAATAAGTAGTAGAATTTAACTAGTTTATCTTCCAATGAAAGGTTCCAAACAAATGGAAGATTATAAAAGATTAATAATTAAGAGGACCAAAGAAGAAATTTAAAAAACAAGAACGAAAGGATATTTTGCGAATTTCATGCTTTTACACTATTTTTGTTAGGGAAAAGCAAACGTCATCTTACAGGAAATTTTTGTTTCCTCGTGCTCTCATATCATTTTTTCCGTACAAGCTTTTTTCTTCATTTTTTCTTCTTCTAATATTTGGTGGGCCCGACAAAAAATGTCTCTGTAACATGATGTATCAATTTTCATATTACATGACATTTACAAAACTCTTTTTGTTATACTATATTTATACCATTTCAATTTATGAACATAAGTTGCTCTAATTAATGTCTAGAATTCACCATGTTAGTGGGCCTTAGGACTAATTTTTATGTAGCGACGGTGATGTAAAATAAAATTGAAAAAAGAAAAAGAAAAAGGTGTTAATGAATTATTTCTTATATTTTAATAGTTCTAATTTTTTTTTTTTTTTTTTTTAAAAAAAAGAGTGTGAAGTGAAAGGGCTTAGTGACCGACTGAAAAGCCTTTGAAAATTTGATAACTTTTGCTTCATTTCTTCCATTTCTCAATGGAAATTTGGAATACAGAGCAAGTTAAACTAACAAGACCACCATCCTATAACACTTCACTTCATACAACTAAGAACTGAAAATTTATTGCTACTGAAATCCTCGACAATGGTGATCACTAAGTAATTCTATTGAATTAGTAACTGGTGTGGAACGGCTTGTAAGTTCCAAGATCAACAACAATCCCAGCAACAGAACCTGCTGCAGCTGCTACAGAAATTATAAGGCAAGCAATACTCAGCATTTGTAGGCATATCCATTTTGTGCTCCATTTTGGTATTTTCTTTTGAACAATATACATTTCCACTGGGAAATACACAGTTAGAGGCCAAAATCCAATAGATCCAAGAAGTCCCACAATGTCATTGAAGAATGGGAGGAGCATCGATATTACAGTGGTTAAGATGACAAAAATTGTCCTCCAAACCATTCGGAAGAGGTTGAGTTTGTAGGGATGGTAACCAGGGATTGGTATTTCTATGTCTTTGTTCACAAAATCACTATTTGGGAATCTCTCTGATGCTGCTTTCTCAACAAATGAGAAAAGGGGTTGGCAGTAAACTTGGTATGCACCAACAAGGTGGATAATAATTGCAGCATTGGCTATGTCAAGGAGCCAAAATGGATTATAAAAGCCAAAACCAGTAAGAAGGTTTCCAGGGCTGAAGTCTCCAAAAGCAGCATACCCGAAACAACCACACAGCATATAGAAAAGGGTTGTGACTATAACACTGATAAAAGTAGCCTTCTTCATTGTTTTTGACTCTGATGGAGGGGATTTTACTGTGTCCTGTTTCATAACATAACCATCGTTTGAGTTGAGACTTCAATTTAGAACAATATATGGTGTCTTGAGTCTCACAAAATTTGGTAAAATTAATTGTACCTGAATTTCTAAAAGGATCATTGAGTAGGAGTAGGCAAAGGCTATGTTACCAAGAGCTTGGAAGCTCCTCCAAACTTTTTGGGTTTGTGTCACAGTGCCAACACTTATACCAGTTAGGCTTCCTCTAACTCTTCTGTTTTCTGTTACATGTCCAATTTAATTAGTCAAATCTCTGACCAGTAGATTAATCCTCAAAAACAATGAAATAGATAAAAATAAATTTAATCATAGCTTACATGAACAGAATCATACCTATAACTTTACCAACTCCAAGGCCAAGCCCAATTGTTGAGTATGTGAAGGACATGACAGCAGCCACAGCAGAGAGCCACCATAACTGATCGAAATCAGGAATTTGGGAGAAAATAATTTCCACAATACCAAAAGTAATCATGTAAATATTGCTATTCATACGGCATGGATTTTGTCCTCCGCTACTGTGGAAACAATTAGACCTTTTGATTGCCCTGTTGGATCAACAACACAAATTAGCCAATTATACTATTTTCCTTACACTGCTTTCACAATAATAATAATAATAATAATAATAATTATATCTTTCAACATCACTTAGGATTTTCAAACTCACATCATGCTTATGGAAGCTGCTATAGTGTAACCAACGGAAACTCCAAAAAGGTTAAGGTACTGAACCAACCCACAAATCTTGACCTTAAAGCCGCCTGCACATAAACCCAAGATTGAAAATTTGAAACTCAAAAAAAGCACCCAAATTCTTCTTTTGCAAGAAAAGAATTTGCTTTGTTTGATATGTTATGTTATGCAGCATACCAAGGTTTGATCGAACAGCATCCATGTAAGTGTAGTTTCTCTTGCCAGTGACTTGGTCACCAGAACGGTAACAAACACACAGAAGACTTGAGGTGTAAAAAGTCACAAAAGAGAAGAGAAGCATCACAGAAGGACCAGCAATCCAACCAAGCTGAGCTATAGCCCAAGCCAAAGACAGAACCCCAGAACCAATAACTGCAGTTATTATGTGGGCACTAGCAGTCCACACAGTTCCTGTTTTTGTGAAACAACAAAAAAAGAGTACTGTGAATGAGTTGTGACCAACACAACAACACAAGTTCCAAGAAAAAAGAGTACAGTGAATGAGTTGTGACCAACACAACAACACAAGTTCCAAGAAAATCAAGCAGTTTATAATAAAGTGCTTTCATTTGTAGTGAACATAATTAATTACCAGTTCGTTTGAGTCGGCCATCATCATCGAAACACTTGGAACCTCCTTGTTGAAGCCCATCAATGGAGACTTCAAATGGCTGTTGATGGTTCTTGCTGCCACCGTTCTCAACCATCTTGTTAATATTGCAGACAGAGACCAAGTTAGGCTTCAGAGTGAAGACTCAGATTCCAATGTGAAATCTTAAGAGTTTGTGAACAATTATGATCAACCAAGTCCAACCAATCTATAGAAAGAAAAGAAAAAGAAAAAGATGATTTTTTGAAGTTATGCAGCAGACAGAAGAAGGGTGTATCTCAGAGATGGATCTAAGGGTAGTTATGAGACAGTGACTATTGTTAGAAAGTTTCACTCCTCCTAGCTCATGAGAGTCCCAGAAATGAGAAAACCAAAAAGAGTTGCTAGGTTCATGAGAACGAGAATGTGTGTGTTTATGTGAAGTATGGTCTTTTTGAGTTCAAACAATGTGGAGATTATGCAGTGAATGGAACAAGACGTGTGGGTATAAATAAGTGCTGGCGGAGGAAGATGTTGGTGTTAGAAAATATTTTGACCAATGAGTTTAGACCCACATGCCACTTGATGCCACGTGTTCGTAAAGTGATAGGTAAATCCGTTTGGTCAAATTCGACCATCTTCTACATTTTTTTTTTTTGTATGGACACAACTAAAATTAGGAAAAAAATAAATAAAATTGGACTAATCTCTTTCTTACAACTTTGTAGTGAAATTTTAGCATGTGTATCTTATAACTTTATAAATACTTTTTAATTTATAAATTAAATTAATGGATTAATGTTTATTATATTATAAGATATAAAATTTTATTCGCTATATATATTAAAGATGTGAGGGGCTCATATTTTATTTTTTATTTTCATGTCACTCCACACATTTTTAGATAAAGATAGGATTCTTTGACATCGTTGTCATATTTAAAGTTTGACATCTCATCTGAAAATTTTAACATTCATCTGAGAGTCGTTGGATCAAAAAAAATTAATGATGTCACATGCTTACAAATTGAAATTTTTTAATCTAAATTTTTTTAAATGAAATGTGAAATTTAAAATTTAAAATTGATATAAATATAAAGTATGTATATAATTAATCAAATTATCTCAACGGATATTAACCCTTTAAGAGAAGATGGGGAAATTTGATACCCCAACGACACACGTAATGATGAGCGTTAGCTTCTGCCGTTTAAAGAAACCCGCTTTGACGCAAACCGTGTGTAGCCACCGCCCACCGGCCACTCTCTATCTTATGAGAAAATCTCCCCCACCAGGCCACCACCTCTCCAACACTGTTTCCTTCACATTGCGTTTTCTTTTTTCTTTTTTCTTTTTTCTTTTTTCTTTTTCTTCTCTATATTTTTTGGATATGTTTTTCAGACATCATTAATGATCATAATCTCCTAAATAAATGTCACTGCACTTTTGCAACTGTCTGAATCCAAGTTGGAAAAGACAAGCTTAATTTGGATTCTTCATGATATTTTATGACAGGTAACCATGCTACTTGAGTTTGATTCAGCGTATCAGATTATCAAATCCTTTTTACCTTCCTAAAATATCTCTGACAGGTTATCTTTGTCTTCCTCAAACGTGTTTTATTTAATGGGTTTATCATCTATTATTTAACATGACCACAAAAAGTTTTCTACACACAACATTTTGTGGGGCCCGCAGCAACAAAAAAAACAAACTTCGGCACGCAAAACGAATCTCTATAACATAACACAATCACTTTTCCTACAACATAACTCTTATAAAACCCTTATTTAATAATCACGATAAGGTTTATTGTATTCTTCAAAGGATGTAAGTTATATTTTTTTAAATTTTTTACTTTATATACTTTCCATATTTTATGTATTTTTGATAGTACATAATTATAACATAATTTTTTTTTTTAATTTTCCACTTTGACTGATGTGATTGAAGATAGAAAAAAATAACTTTTGATACTATAATAATATATTACCGAAAACACATAAAATAAAAATAAAATAAAGTACAGCAGATACACTTTTTCCATCACAATATGCACTAAAAGGCTCCTTACAGATGTATCTACCTAGTTACGCCTCATAATTCTGGCTAACAAAGTTATAAAATGAGTAATGTTATAACCTTTAACTTAATTTTCTTACGATTCTCTTAATTATTTAAAATAGAAAGCACTAAATAAAATAAAAAAAGTAAATTTTTTAACAAATAAGAGGATTATATAGAATTAATAAAAATTAATGTGAATAATTGAGATTTGAAATTTTTTTGTTTTTGTTTTTCTGAAAAGTTTCTTTCAAATGTTTCAACAACAGTAAGTGAAAGCTAATAGTAATACCAATACTAAGTGCTTCACAAATTAATTAAAAGCTTCGCAACTCTCGTACCTTCAGTTCCAGGGCTTTCTCACTTTTCCTATGCTTGGCTGTTTTCAGTAACAACTTTAATAAATGCAATGTAAATCGCACAGCAACTGCAACGACACAGCAGCTATATACTAATAAAACTGGGGAAGAGATGTAGAACAGAATAGAAGCTACTATATTACTCAGGTAGCTGTTGTGCTATTTTTGGACTAATCTCTCTACCATATATAGTGGAACACAATGTGTTATAGCCTACAAGATATTATTATATATCTCTTTAAAGGACCACCATTAGAATAAAAGAAAATTCTGATGTGCAGTGCTCTCATCCATCCTTACTGAATGAGAGAATAAGGTTCCTTTATTATTCATTATCAGAATTTAATGATTTGCCTAAAGCACTACACAGCAAGCATATTTATCAACTATATTTCAGTCAAATTGTTTCTTTTCTATGATTGTGATCTTAAAATAATCCATAAATAAGGTCTAACAGTTCTCCTCAATCGGAAAATGCTCACAGAAACTCTTATAATATGGGGACATGGGGCATCTTATTCTTATCTTCAGTTCCCAATAACTGAGGAAAGAAAGGTTGTAAGTGAAAGTCTCCTAGAGCCATCTTTAACTATGTTTATAATTTACACAACGTGTGTACTAGGTAGAGAGAGAACCTGAGTTCGATTCTCATCAAATATATATTTGGAGAAGAAAAAAGAATTTTTACAATGACTAAGCTCATTCAAAATTAAAATCTCATAGCCGATTCAAAGATTTGAAACTTGTGGAGATATTCGAAAGACTGACTTGTCTCAAAGAAATAATTTGAGTTGATATAAAAAAAATGTTTATAATTAATTTGATTTTATTAGTTTCAGGGCTAAATTAATTTTCTATTACTTTCTCATCTTTTCTTATTTAATTGGCTGGAGACAGAAGGTACCAATCCACTACCTCGTGTGAAATTCAAATATACTATATCAACTGCTAAGATCTTCTTTAGGGATACCGATATACATATACTATAGAGGCATATGTAGCTCCTGAATGTTATTACAGAAGTATAACAAGAATAAAAATCTAACTTTTTGCTTTTTTGACCATGTGCTACCTTGCTTTAAAAAAATAAAAATGTGCTTTGATTAGTTAATTAATACAACCGAAAATTCTTTTCCGTTGTATAATTTTATTCGATAGCCATGTGCTTCACCTCGGGATAAAAAATGATATCATTAAACTAAATTAAATTAATAATCATCAACTCATAAAGTACGAATGCACGATGTTTATGTATGCTATAATTATTTTTACATGGGTTCAAATTAGTTCATATGTTGATAAGTATTTGTATAAACATAAGACTTGTTAATTAATGTAACGAACTAAAAATTACGAATTATCGACCACTGCCGGATGGTGGTTTTTTTATTTTATTTTTCAGAAATTGTTCCATGGGCATCTCCAGCCGAAAGCCAACAGCCAATACCTTCGAGGAGGAGAGATCACGCGATACAGTCTCTCTCAACAATTTTTTTTAAATTTTTTTTAAGAAAAAGGACAAAACAGCAGTGTTTGGTAATCATTGCTACGTAAGTCATAAAATGGCCACTTGAATGTATACTTCTCCTTTTAAAAAAAAATTATATTTACAAATATTTTTTACAAATTTTTACAAATTATAATATGTATTAGAGTAGTATATTCCAACATACAGTATAGTATCTCTAATACATAGTGTAATTTATAAGAATTTGTAAAAAAAAGTTTATAAATATAATCCTTCTTTTTTTCTTATATCAAAATTTTATTTATCTTTCTCCTTTTTTTGAAAAAAATTAATATTTTTTTTTTACAGTTTTTTTTTTTTTTTTTTACTTTATACCTTTCTAAGATCTTTGTCTCTCCTGGTCTTCCTCGATAAGTCCCACTTTTTTTGTTCAATTCCTTTTTTGTTTCGAGTTATTTTACTCTCGTTTCTTTATTTATCCTCTCAATCTTATGTCATGGTAACTTCATATTTCAACATATTTCTGAGACGCGCCCGGCCAGTTCATATATGACCCATTTTATGGCAATTTTTATCAATGGATAATATTGTGTACGACATCAACGAGAAACACATAAGTTTCTATTGACAAATGGTCTAGTTACAAAAATGTGATTCGGTGATTTTGTTACGTTAACAATTAACCAAATCATCTTAAACAAAAAAACAAACATTTACTTTTAAAAAACAAGCGATACGAATACAAATTCAAATTTTACAATGATAAAAATTAAAAATTCTATAAATTTAAAATGACCTAAAACATATTTAAGTTAAAAATGTTTTAGTATAAAAAATTGGACGGCGGTTATAATTATTACTATTTTAATCTTACTACTCTTACTACTTTAGTAGTTATCATTGGATCAATTTGAAATAAACGGTAATTAATTTTTGATTTCAAATTCATTCAACAATAACTAATCAGGTAATAAGCATAACAAGACTGAAATGGTAGTAATATATATATATATATATATATATATATATATATATAGTAAGTGTATAAACAAAATAACATAAATAAATAGATTTTTCATATTTTAAATTTTTTTGACATAACATATTTAATTGAATAAACCTTTGAAAAAGATTTAATTTTACCTATTTATTTATAAATTCTTAAGGAATCGTCAAACATATTTTTTCTCCTCATTTCTATTCTAATATATATATTATTATTTTAACCAATGTTATTAAAATCGGTCTGGTCATTGACCTGGTCGAGGTACTGGGTCATTGGGTCACTGGTTCAACTAGTAGGTCACTGGTTCAACCGCATGACCCAGTAATTATATGCAATTTTATAATTTATATTAAAAAATTATAAACATATTCAAATATCTAAAAAAATGATAAAATTAATATAAAAAATAATAAATAACATATTATTATCCAATAAAAGATCAAACAAAAATATAATAATCATGATATAGAGTTTTAGGTTCTGAAAACGACATCTGTAACTATAAATTAATTCAAAATTTTCTGCATAGTACATAATTAAGATAATATTAGTG